ATGAAGGGACAATACGATGCTATACTGCCCTGGCCTTTCCAGTATAAGCTTCAGTTCACTATTTTTGACCAAAATCCTGATTTAAAGCAGAGGCAAAATTTTAGCAAATCATCGAACTCAACAACCTCAGGGAAAGCTTCGCTGCGACCAGAGAGTGAGCGAAACAAGGGACAAGGATTTGTTAGGTTTCTTTCGCACGAAAAACTCAGGGAGGGCCGCTACGTCGTAAATGAAACTTTGATCATAAAGTTTGAGGCGAGCAGGTCCGGTCGTTGAAACTGTTCAATTACAAGATTAATGATGCAGACCTTAATTAGTTCCTGTGTTTAACCATAGAGAAAGTACTAAAAGGCGCAATAGTTTCAGATTTGTTCCTCCCCAACGATCACTCGTTTCCTGCATTAAACAACCAAATTCTAAACAAATTTTTAAACAGTTAGATAATTTAGTTGCTGCTTCCAAGAGAGTGTGTACAAATTTTTAAAATCGATTAAAATACTGGAAAAAAAGAGCGTGACACCTAGAAATGCATCCAAACTAACATACAAACTCTTAAAATAAAAACGTTTATAACTTCTTGATACACAATTCATTACCTTGACGAGCAATTAATTACAGACAAGAGCATGTAAGACCGATATAATCGTATCTGTAAGGGCCTGGTGCTACTTAACGTAACTTTACAGTAAAACCTAAACCCTATTCAATTTTTTTTTTGAAAAAATTTTGAATAGCATGAGAATCAAATACTTTATATCCCCCACCCTCAATGCTGTAGATATCAACACCAAAAATTCCCATGGTTAAAATGAATGAGTTGTAGTTCAGAGCCAAGAGTGTTTCAAATGCTGAACCAAGTGGCATACAGCAGTGATACCCCTCAATTCTGGCATCACCATGCATGTTACAAGTATAACTTTCACTGTATTTAAGCTGTAAAAATAGCTCAAACATTACGATAGATTGTCTTTTAACCAGTGACAGACTAGAATATAATAATATTGATAACCAACAATCATTACTTGAATCATATCATCAACTGAAGTAATCCTTCTTATCGTACTGTAAATTAAAGGGCAGTGACTCATTGCAACACATTGTTGTCCAGCATTTTATTGCAACGTTTCCTTGACAGTGTTGAGCATGAATTGCTTTTGTAGTATCTACATACACTGAAAATTAACCCGGTGATTCAAACTCTTGTAAGCACTATAAAATGGATAATTGCATGAACAGAGGCGCAAATACTTACTTAAAACCCTAATTGGATATCTCATCCCACCTGAATCGCCTCCGCTTTGATGCTTAGACGACAGATACACCTTCCTTCGTTTACGAACTAATTTTGGAGTTGGCCTTTAAGTAAAAACCTCACACTGTTACAGTTACTTCTATACCTGTTAAAGTCTAAATGGTGTATTTCTCTGAATTCCCTTCCATACAAAACTCTCACTTTCCGTGTTTTCTGTAACAAAGATTTTGATTTCTTCATCGGAAGTCTGCTAGGTGCACGACCGCGTCGAGAGAAATGACTAACCTTATTTATACCAACGGAATTGTAAGTTCTGTTATAAATAAATCTTCCACAACGAGATCTCAATTCAGCTTCTTATATTTCCTCTACAACACAATTTTGCTTCTGTACAATTGAGTCATTACCTTTTCCTGTCACCTCACTGCCATCAAAACACTAACAACAACAACAAACAACAACACACACTTTATTAAGAAACAGATATTTACAGTTTGAATAGTACCTACCCACAAATAGTTATAAAACTAGTCGAGGCGGGTAGGTATGATTAAGTTAGGCTTATTACAACTAGGGTTTTTAGTGCCAGACATATTTACTTACAAAGATTGCAGATTAGCAGCAGTTAAGATTACAACAAATCTAGTAAATTAAAATAATGATAGCAGCAACAAAAAAAAATGTAAATAATAATAGCAAAACAAAATTACTACACAGGGAAAAGAGAGAAAGAAAGATATTTCACTATACTGGTCGTAGTGACAGGATTGCTACAGTTTTACAAGTTTTTTAATTACTTCAAGAATTGAAGATGGTGTAAGGTACATAATTCTCTTGTTTGACAATATTAATAAGTGTTTTTATGAATATGTTTCTCAAAAAAGTTTCTACTGGCAGACTTTTTAATGAGACAATATCTTACTCTTATTTAACGGCCGTAAGATTGAAATTATTAAAAACGGCATTATCAGCTTTCGGTTGTTCAAATGTTGGATGGCACCATCCACTGGATAAATCACTATCCAGCTGATAACTATTAGAGAAATTGCATTATCTACTGGATAGTGACTTATCCAGTGGATAAGACCATCCAACATTTGATCAACTGGGGCCAGCGCTCTTAATTTGGTCAATTATGAGTAATCAAAATGATATAGAGAAAAATTTAATGACACGTTTACTTTTCAGCTTCTATTAATATTTTTAAAAGTGATGGTTTTACTTCTTCGTAGTATTTAGCAAGTGGAACACTACAGTATGAACAGAGTATCATCCTCCATTGACTTGTGACAGTCACTCTCTTTACAGTTCTCATTTGCACAAGAGACAACAAGCAAGAGACAATAATCCATGTGTTTCTATCAATGAACAACAATGCTTAATGCCTGATTTCAATTTGCATGCACATGTAATCAGAAATACAAATAAAAGGGAAAGAGACTTTGGCAAGCATGCACAAACATTTTTTGCAAATTATGCACAGGTGTCCACAAGAAATGAAAATGCATGAAAATTGATAACTACATGGCCAGATCCCGTTTCTGGACACCCTTATCACCAGGAGGGAGGACGGATCCATCAAACTACTGGTTTATAGGAAAGCGACACACACAGACCAGTACCTGTCACTTCAGTGACATCATCCACTTCAGCACAAACTTGCTGTCATACGGAAGTTATTGGAAAGGAGTGGTGACCGTCCCATATGTTCACTCATTCACGGAGAAAATACAACGTATATTCACCAAACACAGGGTAGCCACAGTGGTTAAACCTCAAACCACCCTCAGACAGGTTTTAGTTCACCCAAGAGACAAAGTTGAGAAGCAAAAAAAGGCTGGAGTGGTGTACAAAATTCCATGCAGCTAATGCGAAAAGGTATACATCGGTGAAACAGGGAGACAGCTGGGAACCAGGATCACAGAACACAGAAAGGAAGTAGAAAAGATCTCTGACAAAAATTTCACAAGATCTACCCTTAGAGCTTCTACCAATGAGCACCATAAATCAGCCATAACAGACCACGTCTGTCAGAACAATCATATTATGAATTGGGAAGCAAGTGAAATAGTTGAGCAGGAAGTCGACAAGTTTAAGCAATGGATTAAGGGAAGCATATGTATTAGATCGAACACTCCCACTATGAACAGGGACGAGGGAGCCTATCAGCTATCCATATGGACACAAGTGATCTCCACCCCCAAACCAGGGAGGGATGGGGCGTCTACAGAGTGACTTTGCACATTTATCGCAATAATTAACACCTTCAGAAGCCTGTTTAAGGCTTCTGACTCTTTAAATGTTTTCCAAGTTTTGATAGAGATGGCTGACAGTCATCGAAACTGTCAGCATCATTAAGACGTTAAGACTGGCTATGTTTTGAGAACATTTAAAATTATCAATATTAACTTCACTAGCCTGATGAATTTCTCCAAGAATGATAACTAACTACTGCATGTTTGTTTGAATGTATTGTTGTTTTCAGGTTCAACACAATTTTTACAGTCATGTATCTGAGGAAATTTTAAGCAAAGCACACGTACTTTAAGTATAATAAACATGATCAATAACATCATTACCAGAAAGATAAAGCCGCTCTAGAAAGGGTGCAGCGGAAAGCAGCCCGCTTTGTCACTGGAAATTACGATCGAACAACGAGCGTGACGGAAATGCTGCAAGACCTACAGTGGGACACACTTGAAACAATGAGAAGACACGCAAGGCTCTCCACTATGTACAAGATGTGCCACGGCCTCCTAGATGGGGACTGGGGGGATTATTTGAAAACAAGCAATGAAAGGAGAACCCGGGGAAGCCATGATTTTAAACTTATTGTACCGAAAGGACATAAAGATATTTTTAGATTTTCTTTTTTTCCCAGAACAATAACTGAATGGAACAAACTTCCAGAAGAAACTGTTTCCAGCCAATCCCTCTGTATTTTTAAAAGCAAACTAATTTAGTTTTCTTTTTATCAGTGGTTTTTTAATAGTTTTTAATAGTTTTTTAATAGTTTTTAATAGTTTTGTATATTCTGGTATAGTTTTATTTATTATTATCTTAGAGTTGGCGTGATGTCCCAAACGATTTTGCCGACATAACGATATTTAGATTTAGATTTAGATTTAGATCCAGCTGAACACCTCGATCATGGGCGGTCCTTAAAAATGGGCATTGAAATCACTGTGCGTAGGTATAACAATAATTATTGCACAGCAATATCTGCAAGTTGGTGTAACACTTTTTTTACCTCTTATTTAAATCCCCAGTCAGTATATATGTTGTGCAAGGGAGAAAATCTGGAAGAGTATAACCCTTTAAACTTGAATTCTCATTTGTTGCCCCTATTCATTTCCTACAGAAGTAGTGGGGAGAAGTTGATAAAATATCAAGCAAATTCGTCTTGTGTGAATACTCTGTTTTACAAAGCATTGATATTTCAAGGAGAAATTTGATGCTGATCACTCTTAGGGCTTAAAGGTGGTCAAGGGTATTACTGAGTAAGTTAAGCATTCTCACTTTTTTTTCCCCAAGTGGTCCTGTCCACTCACAAGAACCATTTGGACACCGAATGATCGATGACAGAATCTTTCTCTCTGTTGCTTTGTCAGGGAAGGTGTCCTATGAACAAATGCAAGCAGAGAGGCAAGATCGTAAAATTACTTTCATGAATAAGAAAAACAATCAGTGAATTAGTTAACGGACAAATACTTACTATGTTACAATCCAACTTCACATTATCCACTGGGCAAGTAAAAGAAAACAGATCATCATTGTCTGACTTGTCATCCCTGCAAACATTGATCAATACACAAACACTGAATACTGATTTAAACTGATCCCGCCCTGAAGGATTACTCTCCTCTAAAATGACAAGGATCATTGTTGTACTTTTTAGGGTCAAAATTTGTGGCTATTAGGCTTGCTACAGTACCTTAAAGGGCCGGGTAACAAAGTTAATTCAAACGTCAACAAATAGCGAAAACTATAATTTCTATATGTTTGCTTTGCTCGAAATCGCGCGCATTTACAAGGCCCTAAAGCGTTTTGCTGACTTGCAAGGACCCATCTGTTATAAGGATGCCCAAAATAAAGAGATGAGTCTCATAGTTTATAAGATATAATCCGTGTAAAGTTTGCTTACAATTTTCGCATAAATTATGACCTAAATTTGGAAACCGCTGAATTTCTCGAATTGGGTCTTTGCGATTTTGGTGAAACTCTGTTCAGCGCAAGGTACTAACGCGCACTATGTGTAGCAGAGAGATTTTCACGAAAAAATGCCGGTAACAGCAGATTTTCGACTCAGACCTCAAAGGGGCGTGGCATTATAACCACGTGACATTTACTCCGATCGCCAAAAATTTTATGTTATATCGTAGATTGATCTATATGTTATCCATTCTATGTGTTAGACTTACGATAAAAGTAAAGGTGGGGATACCAGAGAGGTTCAAAGTAGGATGGTACCCCAAAAAAAAAAAAAAAAAAAAAACTGGGTCGAGTCACCTTAATCTCAGTATATTTCAAAAAGAGACAAGGTAGAGTATATGTCACAGTGGGAACACGTGACGTGAGCATTTCTTCTGCATACAAAATCGACTCAAAAAGGCAAACGAATGCTTCCACCCCTCCCAAAGCGATAGAGCGTATCCGATTCACTTGATCTACTGGTTCGTCTGGTTAGTGCTCAGTTGAATATGGCGGAAGCTCTAGCAAATCTATCCCCTGGTGGATACGACGAGGAGTTTGTTAACGAAGTGGAAGACGATTTGCAATGTGCAATCTGCCAGTTAGCATTGAAGGATCCAATGCTAACGAAGTGTGGTCACAGATTTTGCAGACAGTGTCTCGACGAGCACTTTATGATTTTACGATTTGTGATTTATTCGAACCGGAATGTCTGTTTATGCGAATGGTAAATGCCCTGTTCTAAATGTATAACTGCGATATAAAATAAATTTACAATTACAGAACCCAGTCAAAGGACTCAAAGGAATGGTTCAGTTTTAAAGGGGTTGTAATTTGGGGTCTGTCCTCAGTAACCTTTAAAACAAGACAAGACATGTTATGAGAGTATTAGATACATATGAGTATTACATAAGTTATAGATGCGGGTCCTTGTTAAAGGAAGAAATAGTTGTCTAAGTTTTTGAACCTGTTTCTCGTGAGCCAAGAAAAGCTATATCTGTCCTCTGGAGTTTCATATCGTAGGGAAAAACTGGCAGTGAATGTCGTGATATGTGAAACCTTCAGGAACATAACGCGATCACGTCATTAATGGAAAAGCGCGAATAATTAAATAAAAGTAACTGCTTTTGGTTCAAAAATGAATATCTCAAAAGGCTTGTGACACTCCAATCTTATCTAAACGAGTATTCCATGTACTGAATTAGCAGGCAACCTGAACACACTGTGAACATGGAAAGCGACAGATTCTTAGACACAGAGACAACTTGCGCTCTTTTGCATAAGTCGCTTGTGAAGGTTTAAAATGCAAGGTTGTCTCAAACAATCCTATCGATACAAACATTTTGTTTAAATATGCCTTATATCGCAAGTTCTAGTATCGTTATCCACTTTGCGCTAGCGATTCAGTCGTATTTGCCATTTGTTACGCCATGTTACGCTGCATACATAAATACAAAACACCTGACCGCCGGGCTAGCTTTTCCTGTCAGACATTCTAAGCATAGCGTCTGTTTGCTTCTTTGTTTGTGTGGTTGGTTGGTTGGTTTTTTTTTGTTTTAATTAGCATTTGCACCTATCTGAAGCTCTGACGTTTAGCAGCGTAGAATTTAAATGCCACAAGAGGAAAGCCATGTTCAAAGGCTGCATAATTTTCTGACTTTTGAACTAACCCGGTGGGTACTCCCTTATGCAAGCCATAACGGTGTGTGCCGCCCCAAAGGGTAGGGTTTTGCGCTGTTTTGGTCTGAAAAAAGGGCAATAACTTTGCCCATTTTGGGCTGGAATCGGGTATTGTTTTCGAGGGAACTACGGAGTGTATGAACATATTTATCGTTTCAATTCCAAATGATTAAGAAAGAAAGAGAAATATGCGAATTCCTATTTTCTTACTGTTCTTATCTAAGTAATGGTCACATAATTTCTATGGTTTTTAGAGACCAGGTCTGAAAACGGGTGTGAAAAATGACATTTTTTGGTCTGCAATAGGGTCAGGATTTGGAGAACCGGGCGGCACACCCCCACCAAGAATTCCTAGCAGTACCCCCGGGTGAACTAAAAACTGATATCGCTGAATATGAAATACGCGACGTGGAGGTGCCGGGTACCCCAGATAGGTGAGGTAACATGTTGTGGGTCACCCCACCTAACATGTAAACGTGATCAAATTAAAATGAGAGATTATATAGACAAACGGGTTACCCCACCTAAGCGGGTTACCTCACCTACCAGGGGTCCCCCACCTCCATGTAAACAGGCCTTTGCAGATTGGCGCAAAATTAACTTATAGCTATAAGGGCAGGTATGGAACCTTCTCCAAATTCAGGATTCACTTTTTCCTACATAACATCATTAAAATGTTGTATCATATTACATTAATTTATTTCTGCTCGTTTCTGAAAATTTTTTCTCTATTTTTTAAACAGTCAGCAAAGTGCTGGTGACCAGGTAACTTGTCCAGTTGATCGAGGCATTCTCATACAAAACAGAGTAAGTGAATTCAGGTTTTGTTGGCTTTATGGATTAAAGGATCGTTAAGTGAAGTTCTAAGACATTATAGATCAGACTTAAGTAAATTTTAAGGTGTCATTTCCCTTTTAATTTCCCTTATCATGTCTTGTCTGCGGCTTTCTTTTGGACAATGTCAAACGCTTCTACTGAGACGGGTTGCTCATAAAGGGAGAAAAGACGTGGTACCGTTAGATGATATATAATGCTAAAATTAGTTGGGTTTGTTTGATTATAATCATAGTCATGATTGATCATTCTTTAGGACCTTTTCCCAGATAAAGCAACAGAACGGAAGATTCTTTCATTTTTTGTCCATTGCCCAAGTGAAGGATGTCAGTGGATTTGCGAACTTAGGTCCAAAGATGTAAGTAAGATTTTGATTTCAATTTGCATTTCGCCAAAGGAAATAAACGCAGTGAGAAAAATAAGTGATGCAATGCAGCGGGAAGATAGCATGGGAGACAAATCAGTCAGTTAGTACACTACAAATAATAAAACAACCTTCCTCTAACATACTTTTATCGTCTAACGTAATAGAATATTCGCAGGCTTTTGATAATCCTTTTGTTCAAAAATTGATGCATGAAGAGTTTTATTGGACCTCTTTCTACCTTTTAAAGGTTCATCTGGAATCGTGCCCCCATAAGGTTGTTTCCTGCCCAAATGAAAACTGTAACAAGACAATGACCAGGAATAATTTACAAGCACACGTGACTACAACGTGCCCATGGAGAATTCTTCAATGTTGTCACTGTAGCGATTTATATCCGGCACGCAAAACTAAGGTAAACGTTTTTTTTAACTATTATGTATATTAATTATTAAAATCATTCAAAGTGAATCATGTCAGAAAACTACATTTCCATTCAAGTAAAGGGGAGGAGGGGCTTAAAATCGGATATCGTATGTTTTTGTTTACAAGTAGATGAGCCTAACAGGGCGGCTTATTAGAAGGGGGGACGCCTATGAGTGGAAGCTCACACATAAGTGAATGAACAATAATGTCAGCTGTCTCACAGCGCTCTTGAGAAAGCTGTTTAAGGTGGCTTGACTGGCCAATTTTGTTCTCATGACCCTTAAAACTTCGTTCCAAAATATTTCCAAAACTCTGTCATAGAAACTGTGCAAACTTTGCCATAATCGAGGCAGTGAAGGGAGGCACGAGTTCCCTTAAGCGATTTCCAAAAAAAGAGATCCTGGTTCCGAGAAATACAAAGGCAAGTTAAAAACGTAATGGCGTCATTACGTTGCCATGCTGACTCCGATGTCAATAAAACATAAATCATTACAAATTTTCATCTTTATCAAGAGCCATAATGGGAGTATGGCTCTTGTCTTTGTACAATACAGCTGTGGTAACTTTTTTCCCGATATTTTTGTTAATGATGACGTAGTAAATGCTCAAAATCTCTAAAAAATCTGGTCGAGCCACCTTAAGTTACAAAAGATAAATTTGATGGCATTTCATTCAACAGGCTCACGAACTTGACTGTAAGAGAAAACCGCTAAACTGCCCAAAAAACTGCGGCGCTGTCGTCCCACAAGAAGAGGTAACGCCGAGTTCAAGATTTCACTTTTAGAAAACGATAATGAGTAGACTAATAGGCCCTCTGCAACTAGCAGTGGGGGCCCGCTCCCCCAGCCCCCTTCCCCCCCTTATTTTTAGACCAAACTGAGGCCTGAAGGGCCGGAAAAAAAATTTCTAGAGACCAGGCTGCCCCCTTATCTCAGGGTCTGGATGACCGGGCCCCTCGTCTTATCTGAAGGTCTGGATCGGGCACTGACTAGTCCTTTACGTGGTAAGAGCAAGGGCCGAACTGGAAAAAGGCAAACAAAGAGCTCTTCTCATTCAAAATAGTACATCAGTTCTTTGTTTGCCTTGTCACAGTGCGTGTCTTGCTCTCACGTACGACGGTTTTGTACCACGTGAAGGGCCCATGGTTTTAGTAGAAACCAACACTTTTGGCGTTCGATTCTATTTCAAGTTTTGGTGGAAATGTGTGTAAACGAGCAAACAACTTACTTACTTACTTGTAACAAATAAACAACTAAATTTTTGTACTTACCATTAAAATATTCATTCCCCATTTTGAGCTACTTTGGTTGTTCCTGGTCTAGTATCGCTTTGATTAGTTTATCTACTTTTTCATCAAATACGATTTGTCATTGTTTATCTTTTTGTTCAAAACGATGGTACACTGCTCAATCTCTATAACACTATAGGTTAGTGAGTTAAAATGAGATTGCAGGATTCTTGAAACTATACCAGGTAATTTCGACAGTTTTGTTGCAAGAGGGTCTCAATGGGGTTAAGCGATAGGCATGAAACGGCCAAAAATTTAGTCGCTAGCCGTAAAAATTGAAAAATTTTAACCGTTAACCGTAAATAGGGTAAACAAGAGTTAACCGTAAAAGAAAGTGTTCCCCAGATTTGTTAATTTTAAGGAAGGTGCTAGACTCACTTATGGTTGCTTTCCGGGCTACTTTGACTCCGTACGCACGTTAGGCCAAGCGCCAAGCTTTTAGGTTTTGACGTAGACCTCAGTAGGCGCCATTTCCGCCGCTCTCTCGGGAAACTAACTTTTTCCATAGCGAAAATCAATCTAGCTTCTTGCTGGGGATAATGTTTGCGATTTTCATGAGGTCGTGCCCTGTAAATACTAGTGAAACAACAAGCAGAATGACACTCAGTTGTAAAACACGTTGCCGATAAACAACAATTCCCTGTTTTTCTCTGACGCTACGGTAGACATTGCCATGCCTAGTCCCTGAACGGGTCTTTCCACGCAATCTCGGTCAAGGCATTTCGGTGGCGTATCTGAGGAAAGTAACTGGCTTAGACCACGTGACCCGAAACGCATTAGCCGCGCGGAATAATGCCAGAGGCCTATGGACAAGGCAATAGCAGACAGTCGGTCTGTACTCCTTCGCTATCACTAAAAACGATGGACACGGGAATTTTGTTATTCGCCGTTTTCATACTAGAGCTAGAAATGGATTATCCGTCTGAGACTAGCTTGTGTACAGTCGCCCCCTCCCCCCACAGACACATCTTCTCCGATTTTTTCTGAGGGAAGGGGGCAGCTGTACACAGGCAATTTGAAACGGATAATCCATCTTCGTATTGTCTGTAAAAATTGACGGATAAAGTCAGGTGTATCATTCATTCAAAATTAAAACCATTCCATTTTCAAATTAAGACGTATTACCTGTCTGACGCGAATTATCAAATGGATAACCCATCTCACACGAACAATCCGTCTTTAGTGTGAAAACGGCTTTTTCTGGTATATGAATGTCGCGCCCCAGGCCTTGAGTTGAGTGTTTGCGTGTCTTCTTTTGCTTTTTGACAAAGATTTTTTTAAATTGACCATTGACATTTCTATGCGCAAAGTAATATTGGAAGTAGAATACTTTGTAAAACGTATGATCTATCAAATGTTAACTTTTTTTCAAAAAAATAGCTTATTTCATCCCGAGATGATCCTAAGACCTTTATTTTGCTTTCAAGATACAAAAAATATAGTTTTATTAACATTTAACTTTTTGAAACAAAAGAAATTAACTTTTAACTTTTTTGTTGACCATAACTGAAAAAAATTAACCGGTAGCCGTAAAAGAGCCAAAATTTTAGTCGATAACCGTTAAAGCCGTCACCCCATTGAGACCCTCTTGCAAGGCAGAAGAAGGGTTTTTCCCACCCGCTCTCCCTGGGCCCGGTTGTTCGAAGGCCGATTAGCGCTTAACCCGGGGTTAAATTTAACCCGGCTTTCTTTTTCTTGTGTTCAAAAGCATTTTCTCGGATAATGTTCTCTGTTATTTTTAGAGCGTCCATTCTTCAACTTGTAGACAAAAAGAATTAAAACTGAAATGCTTTTTAAGCTTTTAAATCTTGATTCAAATCTCGCACTAACCCTGGGTTATCTTAACCCAGCTTTGAACAACCCGGCCCTCAGGACTTTATTCCTCATCATGTCATTTCACTCATGCTCAGTGGTATGGAATATGATACTTTTTCTTTTCATTAAAGCTATTAACGCACGATGAAAAAGACTGTCCGCTGACCATAACGCCATGTCCGTATGCTCAAATGGGGTGCACAACAAAGGTTAGTTAAGCTTCATTCAGAATAGAACAATTTCCTTGATAAATTTTCATTTTAAGTGTAAAAAAAGTATGGCGATTTTTCTTTCTTTTTCTCCATCGTTTTTTTAAGCCAGTGCGTTGATCTTCACTTATAATTTATTACGATATGTCAATAACAACGAATACAGTAAAAACCCGCATACAAGAACGTGTGGATTAGGAACACCCAGGCTGAAATTTGGTAAAAAAGGAGCATATATATAAGAACAAATTCAGGCTGAAAATTGAAAATTGTTCTTATATATAAAAACTCTTCCCTTTTCAGTTTAATAGAACAGTGTCTGTAGCTTTACTGTGGTATTGCACTAAGATTTCTGTATAAATGCTCACTAGTAATTTTCTAGTTAAATTTTCTCTCAAAGTTATGTATTTCATCATAGTTAGTAAATCCCTTACATTTTTTTAGAAGTAAAAAATGAAGAACACTTAAGAACACTTTCAGGCTGATTTCACCTAAAATACCCGATATATAAGAACCCAACCAGCCTGAACCCCGAAAATGGGTGTTCTTGTATGCGGGTTTTTACTGTAATTGCATGAATCCCATTAACTCAATTCACGCTTCGGTCGGCCAATGAGAGTAATTAGGATTTAGATTTTATATTTCAATCTAGTCATTTCTTTCACGTACAATATTTCTTAATCAAACAAAAGTGGACTTAACTGGTGTCACTTGGGAGAAATTAGTTATGCAGACAGGAAGGGCGTATAGTATCCTTTAGCACAAAAGTCTTTTTTATTGCAGGTTCAACGGAAAGAGATTGAAAACCATCTTCAGGAAGCTGTACGACCACATGTTGACTTGGCTTTTGCAAAACTAACTAGCACACAAGAGGAGTTGAAAAGCTCTCAGGATTTAACAAGTAAACTTAACGAGAAGTTTAATGCCCTAGAAAGGCAATTTGAAGAGCAACAGGGTAGTCTTCATAGTCTGTTAAGCAATGACCATAGGGAAAAGGTCAATGCACTTGAAAAAGAAGTAAGAACTTTTAAAAAAAAAGCAATAGAGCTGCAAAATAGAGTGGAAACACTGGAGATGATTGTTAAGGACGGCTCTAAGAAAGGAGATTCAATGGAGAAAAACCTTCGCCCGCTTCAGAAACCTTCAAATCAAATGCGGACGATCGAGCATAAAGGAAGTAGATGCATGTCTAACGATTTTGCCATACTGCCAAGAAGGGAAATTTGCTCCGACATTAACCCCGGTTTTTGGACAAAAGAGTGGAAGATTCAAGGCTTCAGAGGATTTCTTAAACGGGCCGAAGAAGAGGGACACGAGATACAGAGTAATCCGTTCTTCTTGGGTCAAAAGGGTTATAAAGTTAAATTGGGCCTAGGTATTTCAGGTTCTTACCTCAACATCCACTTTGTAATAATGAAAAGTGAAAACGACGTCATATTACCATGGCCTTTTTCTAAAATGGTTACTTATAAAGTGATTGATCAACAGAAAAATCCACAAGCATGTGACGATTGGACTACTCCATTTGACCCTTCTTCTACAGACGCCAGGTGGAAGAAAAGTTTCGTGCGGCCTAACCTAGAAGAGAATCCTCGATGGACCAACCAAATTCCGCTATCTCGTTTAAGTGAAAGAGATTACCTTTCGAACGACACCGTAATTATTAATATATTATTTACTCGAGGATGGTGGAGCGGAATATAGTTTGAAAATTACTTGACCTCTTATATTTTTCTCGGCGGCAGTAACTTTGAAATTGGTTGGAGCCATTGACTTGGAGAGAAAAAACATGTCACATATATGACGTCAGCAGCGGCTTTTTTAAAATCATTTTTCCAAAAGTAGGCTTCCGTTCATTAATTAAGTAATTTTGCTTGGGCAGTCGTTTAGCTGTAATGTTGAGGCAGTTTGCCTCATCTTGGAGTCGTTTTGGCAAAGAAATGACGAGCGGGAACACTCTGTTTCTACGTTTAATCATTATATACTAGTAATAATTGCAAATTAGAGGAGTGCTTCGATGGGGGAGGGGGGTGGGGTGGTAGGTAGTGAATAGTAGTGGAAAGGGGGTGCAAAACCTGATGAGCTTGTAATATTGAGATGTCAAAATCAAGCACTTTTATCATTACGAATATTAGCAGCTGTCTTCATCAGTGTTATTGTTTATCCTCACACTTAACAATTCGTTACTATTTCATTTTTCCTCAAAAATGCAAGAGCGTACTGTAATTTTTACATTTGCTTATAAGCCTTTTAGCAAGTCCTGTTGTCTTGATCCTCCGCCGGCATCACTACTTAAGGATTGCTTCCCTGTACTGCTACCTACTATTACCAGGATGGTTAATTTGTCATTGACAACTGGTTTTATGCCTAATGCCCTAAAGATTGCTTCTCTTTCACCTACATTAAAGAAACCAACTGCTGACTTCAAGCAGTTCACAAACTTTCGGCCAATCTCAAATTTAAAGTTTATTTCTAAGCTGGTTGAAAAGTCTGTTGCAGTTCAACTGACGAAACGTGTTTTTGGTGACCAACCACCTTGACGAGACGTTTCAGACAGCATACAAAGAATTTCACTCAACTGAAACAGCACTACTTAGAGTACATAATGACATCTTGTGTTCTTTGGATCAAAACAAGTCGCTCATATTACTTTTATTAGACCTTTCAGCAGCATTTGACACTCGGTGGATCATGCAATATTAATATCTCGACTCTCGAACCGTTTTGGGGTGAAGGGAACTGCATTGGCCTGGTTTAAGTCCTACTTAACCTCCCGCGAACAGTTTGTTAATGTAGAAGAGGGCATGTCATCAAGGCGAACGTTGTTGCGTGGGGTGCCTCAGGGGTCTGTACTGGGCCCACTGCTGTACCTTGTCTATACTGCACCGACTTACTATACCATCTGTACGCTTATGACACGCAACTATATATTTCCTTCAATACCGATTGCTGTGCTGATCTTGATGAGGCAAAGTTGCGTGTTGAGCGCTGTGTTGAAGAAATTGACTTTTGGATGTGCAAAAACCTATTGAAACTTAATCAAGACAAAACTGAACTTGTCGTCATTAGCTCCAAATTTCGAAATAGACCAAATCTTGAATATGATCGGGTTGGTAATGAGTTCATTGCTCCTAATTTGTCTGTACGTAACCTAGGAGTCATCATGGACAATTGCTTTTGCATGGAACAACATGTAAAAAAGATATGTAGTGAGGCAAATTATCATCTCAGGAGTATATCAAAGATCCGCAAATATCTCACCCAGGACTCTACTCAAATTCTCATCCATGCTTTTATTAGTTCTAAGCTTGAGTACTGTAACTCACTTCTAAATGGTATTCCAAAATACTTAGTTTGTAGATTACAGCGTGTTCAGAATACGGCAGCTCGCATTGTCACGATAACAAGGAAGTATGATTCGATTACCCCAATAATGTTCAAGCTACACTGGCTCCCCGTACATTCAAGTATTATTTTTAAGCTCCTGTTATTAGTCCATAAAGCACTCAATGGCAAAGCACCCTCGTACATTTCTAGTCTCCTGAGCCATCGTAAGTGCTCTCGGTCTTTACACTCCAGTAAGCAAGAACTGCTCACTGTGCCACTGGCTAAACTAAAGACCTATGGAGATCGGGCGTTCAGCATTGCTGCGCCAAGGCAATGGAATAACTTGCCTCTTAGCATTCGTAAATCTCCATCAGTCGCTATTTTTAAAAGACATTTGAAGACTTATCTTTTTAAAGAAGCCTATGGTTTTTAACTTTTATTTTTAATACACGTTTTTTTTATTTCTTTCATTATCTGTAATTTTATCTTAGTATTTTTAGATCTTAGATTTTTAACTTTCTTTTTTTGTATAATGTATATTTTTTAAGCTTTGTAACTAATTTATCTCGGTATTTTATTATATTTTTTAGCTTTTAGGTTCTACGTTAACCTGATCATTGTAAAGCGCTATGAAAGAGTAGCTGAATAGCGCTATATAAATTATTATTATCTATTATTATTATTATTTACTTGGCTAAACCTCTGAGTAAAGTAAATGTATGTAACAACAGGTCAAACACTGTATGATCGTTAGGATATTCTTTTGCACTCTATTATGGTCAATAAAATTGGCTAAAATTGGGATACGTACAGAAAAATTAAAGTTATCTGAAAAGTTTAAGCGTCGAGTATCACTTTAAACCGTTGTTGCGTGACATCAGGCTAACATGACTCACCTCATTCAACGCACCCGGAATTATTTAGATGAAAAGGTCAACGTTTCACTGTTCAACTTCTTGTATATTGTTCAAAAATGGTGACAAACAAAAGCAAAAGCGAAAAGATGCAATTTGCAATAGAATTAAATATGGTCTATCTAAGCTGATCTTGCTTGAATCCGTAAAAACAAATACAGTGTGCAGAGCGCATATATTGTTAACATAATATCCACATATCCGATTATCTTAGAATGGAAATTTTCCTCCATAAAAAAAACTTATTTGAAAACTTCGAGAAAAACTATAAACAAACCTGTAGTACACAGAAAATCGCCAACGCTTCATCTCCCGGGCGAGAAAAACTGAACACATGAGATCGAGGCAAAATGTGCCAGGCCGGTCCAAGATGGCGTCCAAACCGTGAAATGGCATACAAAATGGTTACTACTTCATGTACGGTACGCAAAAAGACTCAAATAGTATGCGTTCTCCTTCGTCGAAACGCAATTATTTTACATAAAGTGATTTCCATTTTGCTAAGGTTTTTACACCACTTTTACACCCAGTGTTCTGGTCATGTGACACAAGTAGTTCCTCTTTCATGTCACTTGGATATGTTGCAAGTTATTTTTGTTTATCATTTTAAGCTTTTAGCCTGAATGGGCCTCATTGAGGCTGTGCATTTTTGCAGCATCTCGAACTGTTTTGACTTGTCACTGAAAGAATGAAATTTTGCGTCAACCAATCAAACGCGCTACCTAGATCTGGCTATAGTAGTGACGCGTCATCAGTTTGGAATTTCTGCGCTCGTTTCTCAGACGTTATTTCGCGGGGAAACTCCGCCAGGGGTGGCGTCGCGAAATGTCGGTTGTTTTCTCAGGCTGCTTGTTAGCCTAAAACTGGGCCAATAAGTTGAATTTCTAAAACTCATTCAAATCAACCCAGAGATATATACAGATAAAAGAACAGGACCAGTGCCTAGCATACAATACAGTTCAGCCATATCTATTCATTATTTAACCAGTAATAAGTAGTTAATCATTTCTGTTTGATCGTGCCTTTCGGCCTAATTTACTTAATGGGTGTGTCGAAAATCTGGCTGTATAATTTCCTGTAAATAACAAAACCTATCTACTTATATAGGGATCAGTATGATTTATTGGTCTTTTACGTGTATCATAACTACAGCGTCCCCAATTGGCTTCAAAAGCTATGTACATTTTCACATTTAGTGCATAAATACATGCTATCTCAACCTTAATCATGTTTTATTCTAATTATTCTCACCTCAAGCAACAGACAATCATCGAGAATATAGGTCCAAAGTGGAAAAATTAAATGAAACCTTGAAAACCCAAACCTAGCATTTTCAACTTGGGTTGGTTTTGCACAACTCTTGGCATGCTTGGACGGGTCGGGAATCAACTCCATGGAAAAATCTGATCTCTTCTCTGGTTCTCTTTTCTGATCAATTAGGGTGAAAACTACCTTATGACGGAAAGGCCATGACAATGCCTCGTCATATTCCCCTTTCATGATGACCAAAAATAGTGACAAATATCCATTTTTGTTGCTCTTCGTGCCCCTGGGATAAAAAGATACTTTCATTTTGTAGCCATTGATAGATGAGTAGAAAGGTTCGCTCTGTAATTCTGTCTTTCCGTACGGTTCAGGTGGTTTTAACATCTCAGTGATGCCACTTATCTTCCAAGACAGCTGAGGAGTTACATTCATAAAATTGAATTCCATGCGTTCGCCGGGCAATTTAAAGCCCGAGATACTCGGGACTATAGGTGTACTACTTACTTTCTCATCATGCACTGATTCGTGTGTCGTGCTAAGAGATACAATCTTCTTGAATAGAAAACTGTTTACTTTTTTCATTTCGATAATTTGTTTCTCTAACCCAGACACTTTTTCTTCCAGTTTACTTGTCTTTTCTCTGAACTTCTCTTGAGTGCTAAGCAGGTTTAAGCAGGCCAAATCAAGGTGTTTACTCGTGGCCGATTGGAGGTGTGACTCAACTTGATTTCGTTTAGTCTGCAAAAAATGAAGTAGCCAATCTTAGCTTTCTAGGTTAAAAAAACTGTAACTGAGAGGATTAAAGTCTACCGCAGCAATGGGTCAAAACAGCTACATTTTTATTACTTTTTAAGTTAATACAGCTTTATTGAATTTATTGATGTCAAACAATGTTCATAGGCGACACATATTCATGCAGTTTGGTAACAGAAAATTACTGTACGTGGGAGCGGACACCATTGAAAACGGAGCGATATTAAAAACCGAACTTATACGGATAAGAGGGAGCTGATCATTCAAGTTTATTAAGAGCTACTTAAGCCCGAAAGAAACGTTTGCACATTGGAAACGAAGATTTGGAATCTTAAATAAACGTTTTTTTTTTTCACACAACATGCAGAAGAAGGTAAAACACAGGCAAATTGTCTGAGGTATGCAGTGGTAGTTGACCACCCCACATGACTCCGATAAATTCCCAAAAACTAACACAATCATATTTCCTCTAAATTGAGAACTCTACGACCAGAGAGGTGAGTGATTATCTTTGGTAAATTCAGCAATGAGCACCTATTCATTAGCCCAGATTTTTGCCTTTTCCATGTTTCGGTTTCAAAACGTCACACTAGACTTATTAAAATTTACCTTGAGATCACACCCCATATGAACATAAGGACAGGCTACTATCTCAAGAGGACAGTCATTTTCAGTGTGATCAGTTATCTATGAGAGAAAGTCATGAACTTAGAGGACCAGACCCAAGAGAAATTCAGCTTCATCAATTCTTGACTGCGGAAGGCTGAATAATGGTGCTAGCAAATGCCACTTGTGAGCGCCAAGGAGACCATGACAAACGAGTTCTAATAAGTAGAAAATCTCAAGCATATACAGTTGGAGGTCATTCTGCACAAGATGAAAAACTGAACTTCAATTGTGAGAGAAATAAAGATTTCAACTGAAAGGTTAAGCCCCGGGGGGGGGGGTACTCCCTAATATGGGCTATATAGGTATGTGCGGCCCCAGAGGGTAGGGTTTTTCAGCCGTTTTGGTCATAAATTGGGTATCGATTTTGGCTATTTTGCCGCCATTTTGGTCATAAATAGGGTAACGATTTTTGCACTGTAGCCTTGAATGCACTTTTTTAGAAGAAGCTACTTCCTTATCATGTCCCCCTAACCTAATAAAAGCAGATAAACATTGCCTTTAACATTGGTCTGAACTAGGGAAATAATTATAAGGCAGGTCTGAAACAGGGTATTGATTTAAGGGTCAGGTCATAAATAGGGTATCAAATTTTTGGTTAGGTCATAAATAGGGTAGGGAAAATCGCAGATTTTGGTCATAAATAGGGTAAGGGTTTTGGGAAGCGGGCCGCACACCCCTAACCAATTTTTTCTGACCCCCCCCGGGGGGGTTAAGCATCACGTTTACGTCAAACGGCAAACGCGAATTTGTACCACGTGACTACCCTTTCCTTGTCGTTTACTGTCCATTATTTCTACTAATAAATTAGTAGTTTCACGCAATTTTTCATCCACAAGAATTGTCTTGAGCTGTTTTTATCTGCACATTTTCTATTTTGAGAAATTCTCAACTTGAATCTGACGTTTGCCTTCTGCGGTATACGTGAAGCTTAAACTCTCAACTAACAACAGTTCACAGCGTCAACGAAAATACAGACTGGAAAACAAAATATGGCACATTATTATCCTAAACTAGAGACTTTACCTTTTCTCGCAACATTGCCTCACCGCAAGCGTTAGGACACTCAACAAGGTACTTTGCGCACACATTTATGTGCTCCTTGAAAGAAGATAGAAACAACAATCATGATTAAATTTGTCTTTAACCCTTTGGCAACCGCCAGCAAGAAGTGAAATAATTTCACGCAATTTCCCCAACTCCTCTTTCATGGACCGGTCTTAAAAATATTAGTAAAATCCAACTAGTGGTCTATTATCAATGCTGCGTTCTGATTGGTTGAGCTACTGCTATGATATATATTATAGCCCACTAGTAACGAAAAGTGCCGGCTTTGAAAACCAAAACAATGGCGATCGAGTCGCGTTTTGCTAGCTAAAGTTGTTTTGTCTCGATATTTCTGACCAACTAGTTGGATTTTACTAAAACAATTATTCCTCTGGAAGAATACTCAGACACATTAACGTCCAGAGCACGTTTGATGAGCCCTGCAATGTCGACTGCGCTTTTTCCCAAAACACGAACTCGGTCCTTTCCTAAATTACAGCCGCAAAGAAAACAAAAAAAATCGCTTTTCACAACTTTCTTCGGAGTCTGATCCATGCATAGGCATGGAATGACGATATGGTAAAATATTCCTCTCAAGCGATCTCTTTTCGCGGGAAATAATTCGCACCAGGTGCCGTTCCCGTTATATCACAGCCTGTGATTGGCTGATCGTGACACAATGACTAACTGCTTTTTGGCTTATTCAAACAATCCAGAAGGTAAATGTCGGCTGTGTTTAGCAGACGTCCGTGGGGGAGAAATGAATACGTGACAAACGAACCCCAAAGGACGTCTGCGGGGAGGCTACTGAATCAACGGATAGCATTATCCTTTGATCACCTGGCGCCAGGGCTCTAAAGTTGGTCAATTATGAATAATCAAAATGATATGGAGAAAAATTTAACTGCACATTTACTTGTCAGCTTCTATTATTTAGGTGATGGTTTTACCTCTTCATAATATTTAGCGAGTGGAACACTACAGTATGAACAGTGTATCATCCTCCATTGACATGTGACAGTCACATGTTCATCCAGATCCTTCCTCACCATGGACTCTTTACAGTTCTCATTTGTACAAGAGACAACAAGCAAGAGACAATAATCCAGGTGTTTCTGTTATTGAACAAAACAATGTAATGTTGAAATAATATTTATCTCATGTTGCATGTGCATGTAATAAGAAATACAAATAAAAAGCATGCACAAACATTTTTTGTGAATGTGTTGGTGTCCTAGATTTATTTATTAAAAGTGCATGAAAATTAATAACTGCATTGTATGTTTGAATATATTGTTGTTTTCAGGTTCAATGACAGTCTTGGATAAACAGTGAAAGACTCCTGGCAACACAATTTTTACAGTCATGTATCTGAGGAAAATTTTAGGTAAAGAACTTGTACTTTATGTGTAATGTACACAATCAATATCACAGGAAAAAATAACAGATTCCCATTTTTGGGTATTTAAAGAATACCCATAAAAATCCCAAATTTGGCAAAGTGAGACAAGTCCCAACCAGGGAATTCCCAACCAAGTTCTCAGATTGGGACTTGTCTCACTCTTCCAAATTTGGGATTTTTGTGGGTATTATTTCTTTAAATACCCAAAAATATCCAAAAATGGGAATCCGTTATTTTTTCCTGTGTATCATCATCCAGCTGAACGCATCATGGGCGGTCCTTACTAATGTGCATTGAAATCACTGGAGGTATAACAATTGCACAGCAACAGTGTCTGCAAGTCGGTTTAAGACTTTCGTACCTCTTGTTTAAAGATCAAAATTTGAATTCTCATTTGTTTCCCCTATTCATTTCCTACATAAGTAGAGGGGAGAAGTTGATAAAATATCAAGCAAAAGCATCTAGTGTGATCATGTCAGTAATTCTCATGAACACTCTGACCACTCAATTCCCATGACCACTCTGTTCGACAAAGCATTGATATTACAAGGAGAAATTTGATGCTGATCACTCTTAGGGATTAATTAAGCAGTCTTACTTCTTTTTCCCCAAGTGTTCCTGTCCACTCACAAGAACCATTTGGACACCGAATGATCAATGATAGAATCTTTCTTTCTGTTGCTTTGTCGAGGAAGGTGTCCTATGAACAAAGGCAAGCAGAAGGGCAAGATCATAAAAATAATATTTTCATTAATAAGAAAAACAATTAGTGAATTAGTTAACAGACAAATACTTACCATGCTATAATCCAACTTCACATTATCCACTGGGCAAGTAAAAGAAAACAGATCATCATTGTCGGACTTTTCATCCCTGCAAACATTGATCAATACACAAACTTTGAATTAATTTAAACTGATCCTGCCCTGAAGGATTACTCTCCTCTAAAATGACAAGGATCACCATTGTACCTTTCAGGGTCAAAATTTGTGGCTATTAGGTTTGCTGCAGAACCTTACAAGGGTAACAGAGTTGAATCGTAAATTTGAAGGGATTTATTTGTTAGTCAAGTAAATAGTCAACCAAAATTTGTCATTACCAGTAAAGTTCACTCCAGGGTGTGGACCCCCTGGTCCCACCTGATCTGTACTCCACCCAGGAGGGCCACCCCTCCTGGTTCCCCTTAGTTTCTAAAGACTGGGGGATATGGGCCTCACCCCGGTAGACTGATCAGGACTCCTGTCCAGGTTGGCTACCCCTGGTACCACTCGATCTTGTCTACCCCCAGGAGGGCTTCTCTCCTGGTCCCCTTACCCCTAGATTTAAGCACTTTCCTACCACCAGAATTTTGCCCATTACCTTTTGTGTGTTTTCTGTTTGGTACCAGGCATCGAGCCTTTATGCAAAAACACTGCCAATTGGAAGAGTTTATTAATTTGTTGTTTATTTAATTTGGTACCTCTTATGAGTGTGAATGAATCAATTCTAACCATGCTCACAAAATGATCACCTTTAGGGGTGTAATGAAAATTTTCCTACATGCACTCCTGTCATCTTTATGGGGATTACCCCAGGAAAACCTGCCACCAGAGCCTTTATTTTTCTTGCTAGCTGAGGGGAGGCCTTTAGCACATTTTTGGCAGGGGTGTGCAACTTGGACCCCTGTAACAATGCCAGACCACGTCTCACTATACGACAGACAAATACTTCCTTAAAATCACTTGAAAATTAGCTTGAAACAGTCGCCAACTCAGATTGTACTGTATATTAAGGAACAACAAGATCTACAATCACCAACAAATTTGACTCGAAGCTTCGGTTAAAAAAGTAGATTAATCACAAAAACGAAGACCCCGCCCATCAAAACATTTGGGAATCACGTGAAAATTGCTCGAAAAAAGGTAATCTCGACCAAAGAAAAAGCAAGAAACAATATGATATACCTAGGTGGTTTTCACGTTACGTCATCGCCGCCATGCTGGTGGACGGTAAACAAAAGATCGCTCATTAGCTCGCTTTGTTTGTCCACCAGCATTTGTTCATTTCACCATTGTTATTTGTGTCTCCCGAGATTGCATGAAAACCACCTATTATCTCTCTCGATCACTTAAAAAATCAGGCATGCCCACGACATGATGAATATTATTTATTAAGTGTCGAGGAACAATTTTTCTCCATTTTTTGAACCCAGTACTATCCTCTATGAAACCCGGAGATATTGACCATTCCTGCACTTTTTATTTCCCACAAAATAAAGGGGAAAGAGGAGTACATCTTTTTAAGAATACCAACTAATCTACAAGCACAATATAAATAAGCTTTCCCCGTAGCTTTGAATACATCAAATGTTTCTTACTTTGTCGTCGACTGCGTTAATTCCTCGAGACACTCACGGCACAATCTGTGGCCACATCTTGTTTGAACGGGTTCACGTAGAGGTAAATGGCAGAAACAACACTTAACATCTTCATCTAAAGAGTTTACGAAGATCTCCTTGTACCCTGCCATTGTCAAGCTTCCGCCATGTTGCGTTGCAAACGAGGCTAAGGTACAGAGTCCTTGTTAATTTTTTATTACTTTTATTATTTGTTACTTTTTTAAACTATTTTTTTTTTCTTGCTTTTATAGATTGCCCTACAATTTCTGTTCAAAATTTATTGTGTTTCTAATTATCTGTTTTGTTCCCAGTTTTTCATTGTTTTTCCTTTCCTCGTTTGAGTAACATCCGATTTTGCGTGATCTAGGTAACAGAGCCCGGCGACTCAAGTCACGAGACAGAGCATTATGTCACGCCACATGATATGCAACTTTCAAAATGGCGGGGGCAGCCAGACAACGGTTACCTTCAGGGCACGAGGACGAGTTTGTGAATGAAGTTGAATACGATTTCCAGTGTTTAATCTGCCACTTGCCGTTAAAGGAACCTGTTCTTACGCGATGTGGTCACAGATTTTGTAAAGGTTGCCTCGAAGAGCATTTTAGAAGGTACGACTTACAATACACTAGCGAGCGTAAATGTCCTAGTTAATTGTAGCTTGTTTCTCTGTAATTATCCTAACGGTTAGATTCTCTCGATCTAAACTCTAGAGAAACACCCTCGCCGTGAATCCTGTGTGATCACTTTGGACTCATGATAGGAGGCAGTCGTTAATTAATTCGCGACAGTCAGTGATGCGTATAAAACTGAAAGGCAATCATTATGATTTCCATTGTGAAACTTTGTTGCATGCGAATTCGGACAGTTTCGATGTAAAATAAATGTGTGCCATTCGATGATATGTCTTATTAAGACGTTAAGCTTCGAGGCGCAGAGCTAAAGTTAAAAGGCTCTACAGTTCGCCCCGTGGAAGCGAATCCAAGCGGACAGTCTTGGTCAGTCTTGGATTCTGGATTCCATGCGTGGATTCCGGATTCCTTGCAGTGAAACTTGGATTCCGGATTGCACACTTTAAAGCCCAGGATTCTGGATTCTACAAGCAAAAATTTCCCTGATTCCGGAAACCGGATCACATGGAATACGTGGGCCAGTAGTCTAACATTTTTGAGCTCCGTCGAATAGACCTTGTCACGGTTTTCGACGCCATCTTGACCAGTAGGCAAACACGTGAGAAATTACAGTGTTTGTATGAGAATCTAATGTCGAATAATTTCCGTAAAACGGCTGTTCTGAACAAAATTTCAATTGTAAACTTAAGCTACAAAGCAAAGGATTGTCCTAAAAAAATTTGGGGGCGTACCTGTGCTTAAATTTCTTCAGAGACTTTCTTTAGATTTTCCATATATTTGTCTGTAATTTTCCCGGGACTTTCTAACAGACAAATGTATAGAAATTTTAAAAAATGGTTCTAGGTCTTCTAGTGCATGTAACGCCCTCAAATTTTTTCAGGAGAATCCTTAGGAGTGAAGCTTTAGTTTACAAATCATATTTTTTTCAGAACAGCCGTTCTAAGGAAATTATTCGACATTAGATTCTCATACAATCACTATATTTTCTCACGCGCTTGCCTACTCGTCAAGATGGCGTCGAAAACCGTGACAAGGTCTATTTCACAGACTCGAATTGACAGGTTACATGTAATACTTTTGTCGTCATACTACAATCATGACATTTTGTCGTAAATCGTTTTGGGATGGAAGGGGTAACTGCAGATTTGACATTAATGGCCACTATTCTTCAAAAATACAGAAGTGCGGCTGAAGGCTTTCCTCACATTTGCCCAGCAGACAGAGAGAATCTGGACCGAGATCGGGTAAGTTGCCACTTTCATCCGCCTGCAAAAGAAGTATTATAACTGCAAAGGGCAGCGCCGTAGCTAGTATGAGGCCAACCGAGGCACTCGCCTCGGTAAAATTTTGACGAATTTCGCCGATCATTTTTATTTTACATAAGCGATCATCGGATATTTTTAACGCATCATGATATTACAAAGAATTCAGCAATTCAGTCAATATACTATGGCGAGGTTAACGGTCACCCAGATTATGTAGCTTGTTTCTGATTATTGCTTTTTAAATTCCACTTAAATTAACTCGAAAACAAGTTACCGAAAGGCCCAGAAAACGCTACAAATCGCATTTCCGAGAGACTAAAGTTCAAAATTTCTCGGGGGGGGGGGCATGCCCCCGAACCCCCCTAGCAACTCCCGCCTGCCTCGGTTGGCCGTTTGGTCTGGCTACGGCACTGAAGGGGCAGGTAAACTATGTTTAAGAAGTTTGAAAGTTAAAGCCATTCAAGAAAATTTCGTTTTGTTTGAAATGGTCTCACATCCCATAGTAAAAGTAATTGCCTGTCGGTTTCCTGTGCAGAGTTTCCCGGTGTTGAGAGGAAAAAGCGTGGCGGTGTAGATGCCCTCTTTGTTGAATCCGAATATTTTTTCTCAATAATGGGTACGAAGATATTGCTCGAAGATATTAGCTCGTTAGCTACTCTGAAATTCGAGTATAAATAAAGTTTATGTTATGTTGGGTTACCGAAGAGAATCCAAGACTTACGTCTTTTAATAGAATCCTAAAACCCAAGAAAATCGAACTCGCTTTTGTACAATTTTAAAACGTTTTTGGTGTACATGACTTCTAATGAAAGTAGCCTTAGTCAGTGAGCCGCGTATGAACTGTGTTAAACCATATATACGTTAAAATTGTTTGTATAAAAAAAGTGAGGATCTTTATTATTTTTTCCTTTAAAAAGCCTTATTTTTTTGCCCTATTTTAGGATGTCTTTCCAGACAAAGCAACAGAACGAAAAATTCTGTCCTTGGCCATCAAATGTCCAAGTGAAGGCTGTGACTGGACTGGTGAATTGAGAGGCAAAAAGGTAACAAGCTGTCAGTTGATGTCAGGAATAGTAAAATTGAATCAGAGCTGTTTTCTCGTGATTGTCTTGATCACCAGTACACCTTAGGGGCTTTTAAAATATGCCACCACGACGGCAACGAGAACGTCAAAAAGGCGATGGCTAGATTATCAAAACAACAATTGTACGACGTGCAGCAGCACTCTTTAATATTTGTACATTTCTTTACCGTCATCCCAAGACTAGGACGTGAAATAGCCTAATTTGATGTTTTATCCACCACCTTCAACACCAGAAGGGTTTGCCCACATTTGGCAAGGTGAGCGAGTTCGGTTAATCGCGCAGACGACATTAGGGCCATTTATACGAGGAAAAATAAGACGCGGACTGTACCATTTATACGAGCATGTCTTATCTAATAAGACGCGTCTTGGCTAAGCTGCGTCTTATTTTAGACGAAATGTGCCGTTTATACGGAAAGTTCGCGTCTTATTTAAGACGCGTCTTATGTAAGACGCGTCTTATTTTTCCTCGTATAAATGGCCCTAGTGAGTTGTATTAGTGGTTTTTCCGCCGTCGCCGTCGTGGAATAAAACTCCCTATCGAGACGCATATGAGACGATTCGGCGATCCAAACGATTTGAACTAATTAATGCGATATAATGAAACCAGGCTTTACTAAGAATCAAAACGGAGCTAGTTAAGTCAATTTCTCAAAACCTTGTTTTTTATTGTGCCTAACAGACTCACGTCGATAGTTGCCAATTTAAAGTTGTTTCCTGCTCCAACCAAAATTGCCCCGTTGCACTGAAAAGGAAATATCTGGAGAACCATGTTGCGTTTACATGTCAGTGGAGGATAATCGAGTGCAGATACTGTAAAGAACCACACCCAGAATGTCACATGAAGGTGAGGATAAGTAACTGTAGTATTAAGTAAGCTTAATATTTGACGTGGAAATTGTAAAACCGAGGCAGGATTACTCAGTCGGAGGAGCGCTTGACTGTAGAGCGGAAGGACGCGGGTTCGGATCCCCGGGACTAACGCAGTACGCAGGGTGTTGAAATAACTCGAGAAGTGAATGTAGAGCGCAATACAGGATCGGATGACCATGTAAAATGGCGGTCCCGTCTCCAGAAGAAGACTTTGAATATTTGTCCCCAGTTGGTACTTTTTAAGGCTAAGTACATTGGCATTCAACTAATGTGTTCTCTGTTAAGTGTCTCCAACTAAACCATAAACGAAAGAAGTTTATCCGGTATTTGACAAGAGAGTCTAGACTTCGGGAGAGATCATAAATTATAGAAAGTTAGTCTTCCGGATCGAAGTCAACCAGTTTAGCGGAAACGGTACATAACTTCAAAAGAAAAAAGAAAAAATAAAGAACTTTTTGGAAATTAAGATATCCTGACCAACGCCCTAGACTCCCTTTCTGTGCTATTATCATCTCTTGACATTACTTTTTTTTTTCTCTTGCTTTTTAGTTTGCTCTTTCTGTTCAGTGAAAACATGTTGTATAAACTTTCTTTCCCTTTTTGCAGGCGCATACTGGAAAGTGTGCCAGGTTTCCTGTGAACTGCCCTAACGGATGTAATAATTCAATTCCCAGAGAAATGGTAATTGGCTATGTTTGTGTTTAGTTTTGCGGTATGGAAGATCTGGGTTAAATACACTGAATACACATACAATGTTCTGTTACTTTTCAATGGGGTTTAATAAAGGTTTAGATGAATTTGATGCTGTCATGGAGCATTTGAAAACGAGTTTAAAGAACTAATTCAGCACTCGCTATCGCCGATTTTCAAACCCTTCTGGTGTGTGTGCTGTTCCCAAAGGACGTATGAGTGTACTAGAGAAGTCTTAAAACTTTTCCCTTTCACCTTTTTTTCAGATTCCAAATCACATTGAAAAGGACTGTCCACTGACTTTAATTTCATGCCCGTATGTTCAGATAGGCTGCAAAGAGAAGGTTTGCAATTGTCAGATTACACTGGCGACACATCAGAGCATGACTAAGCCTGGGAACAGGTTCTACAGTCTACAGTAGTGGCGGGGGGGGGTGTGCATGATGAAGACATATCGGTGGGGGAAGCGAGCCGAGCGGGAATCTGGGGAGAGTAAAGGGCGGTGGAGTTCCACCTTTTCCCCTCTTCAGTCCACTGCTCGGCTCGCTAGGATCCCCCATTTTGTGCTTTTTCACCCACTACAGAACCTTGTCCTAGGGTAAACATGACTATATAGATGTTAGGCAGTCGAGAAGAGGTTTTGTTTACTTGACTATCGCAGCACAATTTGCCATTGCGTAATTTTTCATAAGCTCTATTTAATTGTATGAGTTTTCCGCAAATTTCAACGCATCCGGCGTACTTTCTTATTCATTACCTTTATCATCATCATCGTCATCATCATCTTTATCATCGTCGTCGTCGTCGTCATTATTATTATTATTATTATTATTATTATTATTATTATTATTATTATTATTATTATTATCATTATCAGTGGATTTTAATTTTCTCTCTTTTGTATTCTTCCGGATAAATCTTTTAGTTTTGCCGGCGTGCAAAGACAGTTAGTTTATTTTCTTGATCTCTTGTAGGTTGAGCGGAAAAACGTGCAAGCGCACGTTAACCTTGCCATGGGTGAGCATCTTGATTTCGCCTGTACAAAGCTAAACAGCACACTTGTTAAATTAGACGAGACGCAGAAGGACACAAGACGCTTGGAAGAGAAAGTAGAGGCGCTGCAAAAGCAGCTGGAAAAGAAAGGATATAAAGAAAGAGCAAGTAATACCACGCGATTTGTCTGGAAGATTAACAAGTTCAGTGATATTTTAAAACGAGCGAAGGCGGGGTTGAAGGGGAAAATAGAGAGTGATCCATTCTACACAGATAGTTATGGTTACAAATTAAAAGTGTTGCTTAATCCTAATGGTTGTTGGCCTAATGGCTGGGATACCCACATGTCAGTTTCCATCATTGTAATGAAAGGCGAATATGATGCTATATTACCATGGCCGTTTCGAAATAAAGTGACCATTACATTGATTGACCAAGAGGAAGATCCAATCAAACGACAAGACGTAGTGTACTGTGTCGTTCCCATGAAGGAAAGGAACTTTGCACGACCCCAGAAAGAAGAAAACACCGGATATGGGTATCCTGAATTCGTATCTCACGAAGAACTGCGATCAAGGAGATATCTCGTGGAAGACTCTCTGTTTCTCCAGGTGGATGTCGGCTCTTCCCTGTGACAGTAGCATACGCATATTTTTTGCCGTTAATAATTTTGAGTTATTGGTTTGCCGGGGGGAGCAGAGAGTAGTATGTATGTAAAATACGGAGAGTTTTTCTTTCATGTGATACCCAAACACCACTGAAAAAAGCGACTTCGAAATGTTTATATATCAGAGAAAATACTTTTCGACTTATAATTACTTCTTAAAGTATCAGGGGCTGACTCAGGGATTTTTATCGGTCAAAACTTGTGCTCACTGTTGCACCTAGTTTACAAACAATCATGTCTAGCGTTCTTAGCCGCTGGATATTAATTTCTAGAGCTAAAGTTCGTAGATACGGCCATTCTATGTGATTATTCAGTGGCAACATAGCTTTGAATCAATAAGTACTAAAATCACAAAAACTTCAGTGTCTGGTCTGATAAATGCATTGAAGGCGGGATTGGGGCTGTGACGTTGTGACGCCTTTCCCAGACTTCGCGCGGACAACGGGACAAGGAAAAACCCCATATAACTATGTACTTTTTTAAAAGAGCAACCGATAGTGCAAAGAGAAAATGGTACTTTGTACTATTGGTTGCGTTATGTCCAGCGATACACGAGGTCATCAAAAGCTGATACAAAATGGTAACCTCGTTCCAGACGCCCCCTAGCGCCTAGACTAGGTTGACAAAATGTCTTGTCTTCTACGCACGCAGCCGCTCAACGTCTTGTCACGCAACGCTTGTTCTCCAAGAGGAGGAGCGTTTCGTGACGACACAAGTAACGGCTGCGTAGAAGACTAATAAAATGGTGGAAAGGGACATCATTGTTGCCGGCTTACCGTGCGGCTACGAATATGAGTTTATATCATCCGTATTCGAGGAATATCACTGCCATATTTGTCACTTACCTTTACGAGAACCAGTGCTCACTAGATGTGGACACAGATATTGCAAGAAATGCTTGGATGAGGCGATTAAAAGGTATGATGATCTGTGTAACATTTCAAAACTTGCTGTCTCAGGCAATGCGGATGAAAAAATTGTCAAAATATCGTCATGAAAAAGAGTGAAAAGTAATCAGGATTGGGAAGTGAACTTTGTGATCCCTGTTGAATTTAAGAGATCTACAAAACAAAAAACCAAATCAAGTTATATTGAACAGAATCGTTGAATGCGTCGTTTTTTTCACTCTCAGTATGGCTGTTTTACAAAATTAAAAATATGCTCTTTTCAAAATGTTCGTGAAAGAGAATATTCCTGTCAGGTTCTTAGTGACCCCTGACAAAGATTTTACGACGACGGAATTTCTAGACAGTGTAAATTGCTCCTTAAAACTATCTTAAAACTCTGACTTTTCTGCGTGTTGTCACTGAGCACATAAGGAACACTAAGGGTAAGACTGGAGCGAAAAGTGATTATCCTCAGCCGAACGAACTTGGTTTGAAATTTCGTTTTCGTACAAACGTTCCTGTTTTTAATAAAACCAAGATCCCGTTCTTCGAGCGTCCATGTGTCGCTGTGATGGATTCATTGTTTTACATATAAACGCATACTTCTAGCTTCTAGGGCAGGGCTCTGAAATCTTGGTTTGTATCAAGATATTTATCAGCTTAAAATTTCATGTTAATATCATAAGAAATTCCAGCGAAAATCTGTTCAAGTCCAGCAGCTTTTAAAAGGGTAAAAGGGTGAATTTGTTCAACATGAATTTTTAATCAGGTAAAACCTTCTTAAAATTAATTCAAAGTCGCTTTGAATTGGATTCTCATAACACAATTATCTTTGGAACCTAGGAAGTCGAAGCAACAAGAGATAAGTTCCTTTTATTACAATATTCCCTAAAATAAATCAAAATGTAACACCAAATATTTTATTTCTCGTGTATTTATTCAGGCAGCACGTTCCACAATGCCCGGTAGATAGGGAGCCTTTGGATCGAGAAAAGGTAACTCAATTTTTATAAATTTTTCGCAGTGATTTCTAGTCTTGCGCAGACATTTCCATCGGTCTCAACAGTAGTCATTCCTTCAATAACAACATTCCAGACAATTTCTAATATATGAGCCAGCGGGGAGTGTCGCGATTTTATCTTTAATAGACACGCGATCTCTTCCAAGTCACGCAAAGATGTTTGAAAGTCACGCTAGGCTACTCCACAAAAGTTTATACACAAAGCCGTTTTTTTCACGTGTCTCATATTTAAGTTCAAATTCAGAATTGAGCAAGTTGTTCTTGACTTTCTCGATAAAAGCGTTATAACTATCGATTTCACGAAAAATCAAACAGTCGTTATGTAGCTTTGGACGATATAAACTGAGACCTCCTCTTTGGCGCGAGGAAAAATCATGCTATCTTAGTACTATAAGCCCCCCACGTGGGTTGTTCTACCGTCAGCGCTAAAAGAATTGAAAGAGATTTGCCATGTAAGAGTTTAGAGTTAAAACTCCAACTTTTGCCTGCTTTAACCAGCTCTGTCCCGGTAAAACGTGTACAAAGAACCAACATATGTAACAGAATTTTGTGCACAGGTACCAAAAGTTAACACCCAAAAAGCTAGGGTAACTTGTCTATTTTCCGTCATTCAGGATATATTTCCAGACAAAGCGACAGAAAGGAACATTCTCTCCTGTCACGTGAAGTGTCCGAGTGAAGGATGTGACTGGACAGGAGAGGTCCGACACGTGGAGGTATTTATAAAAAATACGCACGCGCTTAACTCTCGTCCTTTGGCAACAGTGTTGATCATCCAATCAGTATTTTGCCGCGCGTTTCTGAACTCAAAACCACCCACAATACCTTTCGGGATTGTCGCGTGCACTTTTTCCGACAACCTTTCTCGAAATAGCTGTGTATAAAACACCTTGACTGCGGATATATGATACTTATGCAATCCGCTATCAAACGTTTACACATGATGTCACGCTGGCCTTGTTGTTGTTTCAAAATAATGAAACGGCGGCCATGTTGATGTTCCAAACCAATCCTATGGTACTTGAACTCTTTTCTTTCGAAAACGTTTTTTTGTTGAAATAAATTTGCATAAGTGCTAGCCACTTGAGTGAAAAAGCCCTGTTACTAAAAATGATTTTAAAACCCTTGTAATGTTCCTCCAGGCACATCTACTTAGCTGTGACTGCAAAATAATCCGCTGTCCAAACCATCGGTGCCAGGCAATAATGGAAAAGAGACTTGTGGAGGATCACGTGATGAACACGTGCCAGTGGAGAACCTCGCAATGTGGGCATTGTAGTGACAAATACGCTAAGTGTGAAGAAGAGGTATCTGTTGGTCCTAAGTTTTGAAACATTGACTTGATGTGCTTTTCACAAACCAATTGACCATCTTTTTGTATTTTTCTGTAATATACCTAGAGGAAAATTCGCTTAGTAGACGAAAACTAGTTGTATTCATTTACCTATAAGCCGAGGGTAGCTCTAAGCGGAGAACCTATATACTTAATCAATCAATAAATCAAGCTTTATTTACTTAAGAGACATAGTCAATATGGGCAAGAGCTTTCACAAAAAGCAAAATAAAGGAAACTTTTATCCGTCTATTTTACAGGTCTGAGTGTCTATTCAAGAAAGCTATCCTTTTGTATGTGCAATTCAGTATCGTCTACTACCCTTTTGTCCACAGAAACACTCCTCCGAATGCCGCAGGATCCCCGTTGATTGTCCTAATGGGTGTGGCGAGTTTATACCAAGAGAGGAGGTATGTTTAACCTAGCACATTTTTTTATATATGGGTTGATTTACTGAGCATTTCGGCTACTTGTAGGTTCTCATTGACGTTCTCTTGTTTTAACACGAAATTTGCTCGCTAATCATTTGAAATCTCAGCTAATGTAGTTAGGGTTTCTTCCTTTAGTAGGTAACTAGATTATTTGCAAAGAGTACATCATCTTGTCTCCTTGAAACTAGTTTTTATCCTGGTTTTTATCTAGTGAGTTTGTTTTCCCTTTTTTGTCACTTCCTTATTTTCTAGTGAGACTGGGTAGGTGCTGCTCGAATTTCATCTTGGGACTGTTCAGCTGGGTGGGGGGGGGGGGGGGGGTCATTGCCTTTTACTTGGCCAGTACTGAGTTTCGTAGGAAACTGGCTCAGAAGTCATTCCCAAGACAGTCCTACAAGGTTATTTCTCTTTTCAGGTAACCTCACATAAAGAAGTCACTTGCCCTCAAAGCCTAGTAAACTGCCAATACGACTATATGGGTTGCAGCATTAAGGTAATTGAGCAGTGTTTGACTACAACTACGTACCTCAAAAGTGCACTTTAAGAGAACTTGTTGCCGATAATGAGTAGTACTACAGAACACTCTAGCAGTAATAAAACGTACTAGTGTTGTGATTAACTAAAGGCCGGTTGACATCTATGAGATTTGGCGACCAGACTTGTGACCGATTTATGAGAAAAACAGAAGGAATTATGGCAAAAACAAAAATCGGCCTGATTTTAATGTGCATCATTGAGAGTTTTTAAAACCCCCTAATGTTAGACTGTTTTTATCTTTGTGTTTTCCTTTGTGAAGAATATCTCCCCGATAATTGACCGATTAGTGACGAGGAGAAATCACGCCGTAGCCTTTTCTGCCTTTTGAAGGGCTCTCTACCGCAGGCATGTTACGAACCAACAAATCAAAATGACGGATTGGCCACCCGATGCTAGGGCTTTTCCCGCCCCATCTCCTAAGCCAGGGAAAATCGCCTTGGGACGAGGTTGCAATACCGTGAATCGGTTTGTTGGAGCCGTCTAAGTTATGTCTTTTCTTTAAATTTATTTATACTGCTCTACAATGCGGACTTTGGTTTTCTTTATTTCCAGGTCAAAAGATGTGAAATAAACGATCATTTGGAACAAAGCTTGCGTTCCCATTTTGAGCTGTCTGTGGACAAAGTGGGTAGGGTGCAGGATGAGTGTAAAATTTTGAGGCAAGAATTTGAAAAGATGAAGGTGGAACATCAAGGAATCAACCACAAAGTCAGTTCACTTGAGAAGTATCTCAGTGAACTAAAACAAAAACACAGAGATATGGAAACATTCTCGCCATTTACATGGAAGGTGACAGACTTCTGGGAAAGAGTCAGAAGAGCAAGAAATGGCATCGAAGTTCGAATCGAAAGCGACGTTTTCTACGTCGGTCCACAAGGTTACAAGATGAAATTAGCGATGTATCCCAATGGAACAAAGGAAGCTAAAAATGCTCATATATCGCTGTATATTGCCCTAATGAAGGGGCATTATGATGCTATATTGCCCTGGCCATTTCATTATAAAGTAACTCTAACTGTCATTGACCAAAACCCTGATTTAACGCAGAGGCAAAATTTTGTCAAGTCCTTTGTTCCAGACCCCTCATGGAAGAGCATGCAGCGACCAGCGAGTGCAGAGAATGAACGAAGAGGATTTGGAAGATTTTTCTCGCATGAAAAACTTATTGCGGGCTCGTATGTTATAGATGAAACTTTGTTCATTAAGTTTGAAGTAAGCCCTTCTGATAAGCGTGCGTAATTATCAGTTAGTTCTTGTTTTCAGCCATGTGAAAAAAGGAAACAAAAAAAGCTGAATTGAACAACCTACTTCCCTAAGGCGTATTCCTCGGAAAATCCACGCACATTGTCATTCCTCTGAACCTGAAAGTCCTTCACGATCGTTCGAATATTGTCCATCATAAGAGGGAAAAGACTCCGAGTTACTCGTTTTTAAAACAAGGAACGGCAACTCTCTGTACGGAACAACATCTCTAAGGAACTCATAATGAAGAAAATTCTCACCTTACCTGGTCCATTTTGTAGTACCAGACGCGTATACAATAGCTCTTCATCAAATTCAAGACCAAGCCCTCGATTAATTCAGGGATGTCTTAGAGAATAGTCCAGTTTCGAGTTGGCTATGACCGCTGAATCAAAGAAGTGAAGACACATTTGTACAGGCTTAGCCTCCATCTGAAGTAATATATCCACAAAATTCAGCGAGAAAAAGTCCTGTTTATTACTCTGTCTATTGTGTATATTCAAATTTCAGACACTTACTTGCCGGAATTTTTGAATATTTTACTTTATGTCGAGGCTAACCCTGTATGAATGTGTCGTTAATGTTTGTATTCAGCGGTAATTTTTAATTCGAAACTGGACTATAGGAAAACCACTCTCTTGCATTAGCTATCTAAAAAAAGTACAGAGGTCACTGTGCTTTTATAAAGCACTCCCCTTTTCTCTTAATACCACTTTAGAACACCATCTTGGGGGTCTTAACCCGCCTCTTGTTTGTTACAAAAGAAACGTTTTGAACAAGGATGATCTTTTGGCTTCTACGGAAAGAAATAAAATGTTGCACAATCACCCCTTGGAGAAGGAACTCAGGGAATACCTGGAACAAATTAAAGCACTAATATTAGATGATATTAACATCTTAGACTGAGAGCCACAGGCGTCCCTGCAAGCGCACGTTTCGTAATATTCCGTAATACAACGAGTGTCCAATGTAATTTACTTTCTCACGAGAGAGTCGCGGTGAAATAAAACGCGAAATCCAAAACGGATTTTAAGGCCGAAAATTCCATCTCAGGGGAGGGTTTTCAATTAAGAAATTCAAATCCAATTTTCTAACATTTCTCCCTTTTACCATCCGAAAAACGATTTGCGAAACTGTTGTCGTTAACAGTGGTCTTTTTCCTGCTAATGGCCAACGAGGTAACCGAGCTAAGAAGCGAGGTTGCCAGGCAAAAACTCTTAAAATTCTAAAATCTAAAAAAAATTCTAAAATTTGCATTTTTGACCATATTTGGGTGTAAACAACACCCCATATTTGGGTAGTGAGGTCATGGTCTTGTATTTACAACTCGTGGTCCGACATTAGTGTACAGCTGTTCCGTTTCTGTTCAAGAGGACCTAACAGGTGAGCAAGCTTTAATAGAATTTCTAGTTTGAAAGGGCGCTAAGTGCTCTGGTTTGCTTTATAAATTGCGTTTAAAGCAGCAGCTGATCAAGGAAAAGGGTTTTACGCTCAAATTTTTGTCAGAACCAGCGTGGTCTTTGCAGCTCGATGTACATTGATCATGATCATGAGGTAGCGTGTGTTCGCTTCTCGACTCAGAACCAGGGTTTTCAGTGTTCTCTTTTCCTTTGCGAACTGAATTTTAAGCGGTAGTTAATCAAGGCATAGGGTTATATTCTCAAAAATTTTCTCAGAACCAGTATGGTCTTTGCAGGTCGATTTACATTGAGCCAGTCCTCGCCTCGCGTGAGGAGTACAACGTATTTGCAGACCTTTGTTTTTTAGAATTTATTCAGTTATGTCTTTCGAGATATTTTGTCAACCAGCAAAACTTTTCTCAGAACCAGTATGGTCTTTGCAGCTCGATTTACATTGAGACAGTCCTAAACTCCCGTGAGGAATGCATCGAATTTGCAGACCTTTTGTTTTGAAGACTATCATTATGTCTTTCGAGAGACTCCTTGTTCCGTGACACTTCCCTATGAGATCTTTGTAATTTATTCAATTAAGTCTATATTTTTATACCTCTGATACATTCCGCCCTATTCTTGCGCTTTTCACACATTTTACTTTACACCAATTTTTTCTTTCGAGAGACTCTTTGACAGTATTTACGTCAACAGTTCGTTGCAAGGTTATCTTCGAATAATAGTAATGAAAATAATAATAATAATAATAATAATAATACACAGAGAAGTATAAGTGTCCACATGTTCAACAGTTTCATATCACGTAGGAAATGACCTTGAGCACTTCGTTTAACTTTGTTTCTGATTATACTATATTACAGGATGTGTTTCCCAACAACGCAACAAAAAGGAAAATCCTATCGTTAGCAATAAGATGCGTGAATAATGGTTGCCCATGGACGGGTGATTTAGGCAGCAAAGAGGTAAAAACCCAATATAATTAAGGTACAGTTCGTGTCATGCACGGCTTCTTAAATCTGAAACATTATCATTCGCAAGTCTAGCAGAACCCACACCTTTTCAACCACATATAAGACTCACAAACTGATCAGGTTACTTCCCTTAACCCTCGGACGTACAAGGGGGTAGGGGAGGGGCTCACGCCCATTTTGAGGCGAGTTTAGTGATGGTCAGTTACTATGGTTACAAGATATGATGTCTTAAGTAGCAGGTTGTCAAGCTATTTTTGAGTGAAAATGCATTATTTAACTTATGGTGTTCCATAAAAAGGAAAACATTGAGCAAGAAGACAAGTATCGAAGATGGTCATTGTGTATTTCCATTCCCCCTTGATTTGATTGATTGAGCACAGTACCGCCCATACTAGTATGCTCTTAGGGGGCGGGTGGGGGTGAGGTTCTGCTCTTACGAATGCATTCATCTCAGAAGAATTTGACAATAACTATGCGAAATGGGTGCATTGTGGGGTCTAAATTTCTCTAGGGAATACCATGGCCTAAAAACATTGACAGTTTTTAATGTAAATGAAAAAGAATAAATATATTTATTTTGTTTTGTTTTGCTTTTTTGCAGGATCACCTGGAAAAGTGCAGCAAATTATCACTTCTTGCCCAAAGAGCTGTGGGGAATCAATTCCCAGAGAAATGGTTAATACATTTTATTGTAGTGTGTGTCACTAAATCGACTCTAAAGCCAGCAAGACCGGGAATCTGAACTTTTAAACACCTTTCTTTAAAACTACTTTGATCCTTAGATGATAAAAAAATATAAAAGCACTTGACCTTAGTTCGCTTATTGTACAATTTCCTTTTAGTTTCAGTATCGCATTGACAACCAATGTCCTCGGACTGTTGTCTTCTGTCCAGTTTTGCTAACATAGGATGGATTGAAAAGGTATGTTCTTCATTAGATATAATTTTGAATTTAGCGGATTGAAAACATCATTACATGTGCTAACCGTATTTCCAAAGCATTCTTTAGCGTTGTTTTCCAATGCAATGTAGTTTTTTTGTAGAAGATTAAAAATGAGTGCATGGTCGTGGCAATACACCGACAAATCCTGTTCCTGCTCCTCGAAGAAGGAGAAAGCCAAAAGAGCCGAGTGCTTCAGATAAGTTGTAGAATGTGCGGCAGTTGTTTCAAAACACAGTTCGGCAATTTTAAGAGTGACTGGGTGAGTTCTGAAAATATTTGTTTGTTGTCTCTACTACAAAAAGGTTAAACGTCACCAAAGTTGGCCAACCTTCTGAAAAACGAATTTTCCGTTGTCCTTGATGAAGGAGAATCTTCCTCCACAAGGAAGAACAAAGGTTTGAAACTGAGCTTCGATGCTTTCGCAAATTAGAGAGAAACTATAAAACACGCCAACGGACTATGAACCATTTATTACGATTGAAAAGAGCGAAAGCCTGTTGGTATGACCTGTATTGGTCGCCACGTTGGAGGGCATACTCTTGCCCTCAAAGATGGAACTTGTTATTCTTAGACTTAGTATTCAGTATAGCAAAAGGGAACACAGTAGTTGTGCATCATTTTCTGTTTTTCATGAATATTTCGCAAAAAATCTAGCTGCCTTCTCAGGTGTGATCAGTCAACCTATACTTCCTCCCGGCCCTTACTCGGCGGGCGCTTTTAACTAAGCAATCAAACTTGTATGCGGCGTAAGATTGCAGTACGCAATGATGCCCCAAAAAAATCAGTAAATACACTATCAGTTATTAAATTACTATTCTCTCCACAGTTTCAGCTTTAACTGACGTGCAATTTCATATTGAGGCAGCCACGTGAGAGCACCTTAACTTAGCCTGCGCTATTAGTTGGATGAGACTCTAGTTCAGTTAGACAATGCTAAAGCTGAGTTGGATGAAACAGGAGTTAAATTGAATGCATGAAACACAAGTCCAGTTGCATGACACCCGAGACTACTGGGGGAAACAAGAGTAAGTTATTTAAATTACAAGCTCGAGGAAAAAAAAGGTGAATATAGGTAAAGAAGAAGGTAAAATACGGTTTATTTGGAAGATTGAAGAGTTCAGTGAAATTTTGAGGCAAGCGAAGGCAGGAGTAAAGGAAACGGCACATACTCGGTGTAAAACCCTCACGACACATGTGACGTCAAAACTGAGTAAGTCTGAAGATCGACGTATCGGGAAATCCATAGACTGATAATAGACCTCTATGTTGATGAATGGATCAGTAGGTCTGTAGAAATTGATGCTCTCGAAGTCTGAAGATGCTATTTCCGAGACCCTAAATTTCAAAATCTTCAGGGGGAGCATTCCCTGGACCCCGTGATTCTCCCCAATAAATCTAAGCTTGCTACGGAACTGGTGTTACAGGGTGCTACTTATTGTTACACAGTGTTACACGGTGTTACAAGGTGCTACACGGTGTTGCACGGTGTTCAAGGATGTTACGTAGTGTCACATTGTGTTACACGGTGTTACAGGGTTTAAGTTACACAATATTATATGGTGTTACACGATGTTAAAGGGTGCTACACGGTGTTGCATGGTTTTTTTAGGGTGCTTCACGGTGTAGACGGGTACTACACGGTGGTACATGGTGTTAAAAGGTGTTACAGGGTGAATGAAACACAGAAACACACAAAACAGATCGAAATCCACCAATCACAAATCACAAACCACTGCCTTTCGACGTATCGGGAAATCCACAGATATGGTAGACCTCTATGTTGATGAATGGATTGGTAGATTAGTGAATCTGTGGATCAATGGATCGCAAGGTCTGTGATCGGTGTAGTCGGTAGATCCGTAGATCGGTGAATCTGAACTCAATGGATCAGTAGATCTGTAGTTCGGTGGATCGCTAGATCGGTGGATATGTAGATCGATGGAATTCATTCCTTTTAAGAAAATTGTTTTGTTTTTATCACAGTCCTCACAGTTAAAACAAGGAACTGCAACTCTCTGCATGAACAACATCTCCAAGGAGCACATAAAAAAATTGAAATTCATACCTTTCCGGGTCCTTTTGTAGTGCCAGACGCGTCTACAATAGTTTTTCATCAAATTCAAGACTGAGCCCTCGATTAACAGAGGAATGTTTTAGAGAATTCGAATTGGAAAACCAGTCTCTTGGCCATGGTTGGCTGTTTAAAAAAAATACAGAGGTCAATGTACTTTTATAAAGCACTTTCTCTTCTCTTGATGCCACTTCCGAACACCATCTTGGGGGTCTTAACCTGCCTCTTGATTGTTACAAAATGAACTTTTTGAAAAGGATGATCTTTTGGCTTTTACGGAAAGAAATAAAATGTTGCACAATCACTTCCTGGTGAAGAAACTCAGGGAATACCTGGTACAAAATCAAGCACTAATCTTAGATGATTAACATCTTAGACTGAGACCACAAGCGCCCCTTCAAGCGCACGTAACGAGAGTGCAATGTAATTTATTTTCTCATAAGAGAGTGAGTGTCGCTTTACAGGTTTAAAGAAAGCAAAATGTTGTTTCATATAAAGACATAGGACATGAGACATCGGATATGGGAAAACGGACTTGGGAAAGCGGACATCAGGCATCAGTCATCCCACATCGGACATAAGACATCCATCATCAGACATCAGACACAAGAGATCAGACATACAACGTAAGACATCAGACATCAGACATTTGACATTTCTAAGGGACGGTATAATCAGAAAATTTATAGGAGGCGCGGGGGCGGGGGCGCGGGCTAAGTACCAAAAAAATATTCGCGCAAGGGAAAATTCAATGAAAAAAATTCAGCACGCCAATTAATCCTTAAAAGTATTCATGCTATGGCCTAAAAAAAAATCATAGAAGGAATTTGATGACGAAAAAACGTTCCTGCGGCTCGAAAATTCCCCTCCCCCCCATAACTTTTCTAATGGTCCGTCCCTAAGGAAAAGCCTTTCGTGAGTTTAAAACGAGGCTCCTCCATCGTTGCTAAATGAAAGTTTTTAGGTTCTTACTAGTAGGAAGGATAACGCTAGACTGTTCACAGTCCCCTATTTTTCCCTAAGACTCGGTCGAGATCGAAGACTTTGCTTTTATACGGGCGGCCATCTTTATAGATGAGTGTCAAATCAACTTCGCCTTTAATCTTTGGCAATCAAAGTCGCCTTTTGATTGCCAAAGAATTTGATTGTAGCCCAGTTATGATTTGTTTAGAGAGTGATGCTATGACTGGTCTATGACTATATACTGCCATGTATCAACCTCGTCCCCAGGGCTTTTCCCTCCCATTTGTTGAGGGAAAAGCCCTGGGGACAAGGTTGGCCATGTATGGGCTATATAGGTATGTGCTGCCGCTCTGGAGGGTATGGTTTTCAGGCAGTAGTACTCTGGGATAGGGTATATAAATCAGAGAGTCTGGGTCTAGAAGAGGGTATATTGTCCATTTAAACTGATCAATTGGCTGAAGATTTTAGTCTAGACTAGGGAAACCGGGTATCATGCCACTCAAGAATATGAAAAAATCAAATCGGGTTAACGTTTGTTTTGGCTGGACTGTGCTCTCTATGATAGGGGGGGGGGGATTTGGGGAGTAATTTAGTCTAGTATAGGGTAGCAAAATTCATTTGAACTTGCTCTGGTATAGGCTAAGGGTTCCAGGGTCCCAGAGGCACATCCCCACCCAAAAAGTCCTAAAATACCCCCCCCCCCAGGGGTTTATGGCCGCACTCCCGGAGGAGTTATAGGAGCATGACAGAACTCGTTAATTTTGGAATATTGTCATAATCAATTGACAAATAAAACTTTAAGCAAGAACTTTAAAGTTTATCTTGCGTAACAACTAGAGGAAATTTTCAGTTTTTCTTCATAACACAGTACTCATGAGTACTGGGAAAGCAAGGAATCTCGTGTCGCTATCTCATGCCTTGCGTGACTTTGAAGTGTCACGTTTAATATTATTATTATTTCCGTTGCGAACAGTAATGGCGGCTGGCGGAGTACCTACTTTAGGAGGCTACGAATACGAGTTTGTTGAGGATATTCCTGATGACTGGGAATGCCTTGTGTGTCAGTTACCTCTTAAAGATCCTATTCAGATCGAGGGATGCGGCCACAGACTCTGTGAGATATGTGTTGGAACAATTTTGAGGTATGAAATTGGATGTGTTTCTTGTGCTCATGTGCGGTTTACTCGGTCATTTTTAAAACAAGTTTCTCTGAATCTGTAGTCATCTGCGAGAAAAAAAAACATACACACAATTCGGACGTATATTTATTTCGTATAATTAGCTTTCAGTCGGGCATTCAGTGCGAATGATCCCGTACGATATGCTAAGTGACTTTTCGTGATCTTGTCTTGTACAGTTAAAGTATTCACGTGGCTAGCTGCCTTTCTACGCCAGTCATTTTAATTCCTTACTAACTTTAGAGAGCTAGCCCAACCTAATTCGCTTAAGGAGTTTTACATCCTACAATCTTCATTTCGCTTTTTGCATTTATATGTGAGTGTTGATTGACTGGGGGCGACCTACGGTAAAGCAATTTAGTAAAGCGAGGGAGTTGTCATGAATATTAAATACACTTCGAACTGATCTTTCGTCGCGTTTGAGAGAAGACAACTTACAACTTGTAAAGGTCGCTTATTTACTCAATAACGTAACTAGAGATAGAAAAGAAATCGTGTTTTACCTTAGGGTATAACGCTTAGAATGTCGTTTAATAATTTCAGGCGCCATAACAAATGAACCAAATCAATTCCACATATCCTAAAACAATCAGCGAAGTTTTCAAAGAAGTATCTAATCGTTTTACTCATAGAGCCTAATGGGAACCTCAAAATAAAGCCTTATCGTTATAAAATGAGAGAAATTAAAAAACTGTATCTGTTCGCTGACGGAATCACTTCCTTCTTTTAGATCCGCGAAACCGCAGTGCCCAGCAGACAGAGAGCCGATATCACGAGAAAGGGTAAGTGAAGACATGTGGAGGTCCCTTTTATCCTACCTAAGCAACTTTTAAGATTATTGAAATCATGCCTTATATTTCTCTATGCTAAAACGTATGGGACTAGTGTTACATTTGATATTACCTCATGATACCAATTTATTTCAGTGTAAGCAAACAATGCAAATATGATGTATGACGTGATAATATACGACAAGGAAACAAGTTATCCGGAACGTCATCATCAAATTTTTTTAATCTCTTCTCCTCTTTCAACACACTGACATGTTTTATGCAGCGCTTTATCCACTAGCATTATATATTTTTTAAGGAAGTGTAGGAAACATTTGCGATTATCATGAGACTGAAGGAGCGCTCCTTTGTTCGTTTACTTTACCATGTTTTGGTCCATTGGCCAATTTTAAAATAGTAACAATTAAATAAACTTTTTCGCGTCGCCGTTGCCTTACTCCATAAAGAGGGTTGTTATCTGTCGCGTAACTTTAAAATGTCTTCCAGCAACTATTTATGAAAGATTACCCTTTATGATAAATATTTATTTATTTTCCCTGTTGGTGAAGAATTTAACAAAACGATATCATATTAAAGCGTGAACAAATTCGCTCTCTTGAAATCAGAAAATTACATACTGGAAGTAATTGTTCACTTAACGTTTCCTTTTAAGGTCATTTAATAGCATCATTGAGAAAAACGTTGTATTGATTCTAATTTTGCCCTAATAAGGTTTAAAACGTTTGTGTTTTTGTTTTTAACCCTATTTGGATAAAATTTAGCGTTGGCTTTTGATAATTCGTACCATCGTTATGTTTCCGAACAAAAACTAAAAAGATTCTTATTAAATAAATAGACTCCGTGTTTACGTCTCTGTGGCTGTTAACGACTTCTCTGACATGCGAACAGTTGCTTATGCAGTAAAATCAAAATTCCTGCTTAAAACACTTCACCTTCACCCCCTGCCTTCAGTCCTCGAGAACGAAAAAGTCCTAATCAATGTTTTGTTCCTTCCAAAATCCTAAGGTTGTTTCACTCTAAAGTATGTTGACACAGCCCATTAGAATTCCGGATTTATGTACTTGGCTCCGTCAGTCCGAAGTATGGAAAACTGGGCTTATAGCTAACAAGATGGTCTAGCAATTTTTATCTCCTCTTTAAATTTTATCACTTTTGATAACTTTTCCCTGCTATCTCTGAACAAACTAACAAACAGAAAAATAACACTGCAAGCTGCTTATTCAATTTTCAGGTCATCCTATGTTTGACTGTAGTCCCAAGCTGCAGTTGATAGAATTTTGCGAGACCTGCAGGCAAAAAGGAAACTGAGGCGGCGTCCACACTAATGTGTGTTTCCCTTCTTAATTGTTGCACCACCTTCCATTGTTCTACACCACTGGACCAGTGCAATGTTCCATTTCATTTTTCTTCAATTATGTGATTTTTTTGCCCCCTAATTATTTTACAGATTTTTTCTGACGTTGCATGTCATCGCAAAATACTGGATGCCAAGGTCAAATGTCCCAATAGAGATTGCACCTGGACCGGAGAGCTTAGAGACGTTGGGGTAAGAGTTGATCATTTCACGCTGCGATTTTTCGCCCCTTTTCAACCGTCCACTATGTTCAACTTTTATTGTAACCAAATCGGTACCTCCCTTTGAAGATTGAGGCGCATTTGACATAAACTGTATGCTCGCATACCCAGTTTCTCACTGACTTAATACATTTGGACCAGAAGCCTTAAGTTTCAGCATATAGACACCGATGAAATACCAGGATTTCTCCAGTGACGAAAATTCGGTATTCAGTGAAAATGCAATTTTATCCTTCTCATGTGAAGATATCACGGTTGTCATGGCTACTTCAGTCTCAGCCAACAGGAAAAGAGCGTCACAGCATCTCGCCATCGGTGTCTATATAATAAACAGAATATTACGTGCCCACTTGTGGATACGAATTTTATTTGGGTGTTCAACTCGCTACCTCACGAGTGAGCGCAGCGAACGAGTGAGATATCGAGTTGAACACTCGAAGATAAAATTCGTGTCCACGCGCGGGTATGTAATATCCTCAATACGTTCTTATTTAGAAACATCAAGACGACTGCAGTTATGAACCAGTACACTGTATCAACGCGGGCTGTGAGGAATGTGTTCTTCGCAAGGACGTCATCACACACGTGGAGACCTCTTGCCTCTGGTCTGTGATGCAATGTGCTTTCTGTGATGTTAGTTTTCCCAAATTGGAGAAGAATGTGAGTAGCTTCTGAACAAAAACCGCAGCCTTTGTAGAGAGAATGTTTTTAGTTCTCTGAGGCGCCACTGCCACTGTCTCTTAAAAAAAACCACGATCAGGGTCGAACATTTGATAGATGCTTTGAATAACAAAAAAGAAAAATGTATAAAACTTAGTGCCTAGAGGGATGTTGTGTCTGGCTACGTATGTTCATTGTCATTTATTGTCATTGTAGCGTTCATCAGTTTGAATTTTTTCGCTCTCTTCGGTGGGTGTTCTTCGGCTTCTGGTCTCTTCGTAGTGATCGGAACGTCGACGTTAACATCAACGTCAGTCGCGCGTCGGTCTGCACAGTCACAGCAGACGATGTCTAGCCTTCAGGGGCACATCTAGAATGGTCACTCGAGACTGATTTGACAATGATGGTGACGATGATGGTGATGATGATGATGATGAGGATGTTAATGGTTGATGAGTAACAATTTAGATACGTATCTTGCACCCCACGAGTCCTATTTCCAACACTACGTCCCGTTTGTGTTCCTGTTTTCTTGTTTAGGCGCACAATGAAACCTGTGGGAAATTTCCAGTCGAATGCAGCAATAAATGTGGACTGAAAAATGTACCAAGAGAAGAGGTAAACTATTGACTAGATATCAGATTTTCAATTCTGGGAAAGGTCGTTATAACCCGGGCGCGCCCTCTCAAATATGCCGGGGCAGGGGAAATCGATGGAATTAGAGGATCAAGGAGCAAGAAATAAAGATCGAGGGAACTTTTCGGTCTTCCAACTCTTCCTACGAGTTGCCCTCTGCGTAGAGCGGATTCTGCATCCTCGATCAAGCAGCTCAGTATGAATGTTGTAGAGCGGCCACTATTGTTTCTCCTTTCATAATCCTTACTAATTTTCACACCGTCTTTAATTAGATCTCCTTATGGTGACTGCATGATATTAAGTTGTTTTACTGCTTTAGGTTTTTAGCTGGTATCCTCTCTGCAAGAGCACAAAATAGGCGTATTCTTAAATGCAATTGCATCGTATTAGCGATTTTGTGTAGGTTGGTTCGATACAGCCCCCTTTGCAATCATGAACAGCTCTCACCGCTAGAAAATGAGTATCTTTTGTTACTCTTTGACTCATGAAGGACCTGACCGAGATTATTATACTTGTACGGGATAAAGTACGGGTAGAAAATTTCAAACATATTCTTCCTCAACAGTTGCTTGACCATACCGAACGACTTTGTCCGCTGACCGTAATCGATTGTGACTATGTTGCCTTGGGTTGTGCAATTAAGGTAAGAGATTTATTTGGTCCGGTTTGTTTTTGGTCAATTTTGCTTGTTTTATTTTTATTATTTTTTTAACAATATTAGATTATTAGCAAATCTATTGTTGGGGTATTAGCAAATTAATAACAAAAACTGTAGAATTAATCTAGAGCAGGGCCTAGTGGATTTATGAAGGCTCACTGTTTGAATGGTTACGCTGAGGAAGTTGATCACCGCAAATCAGCGAAATTTACGTACAATGATTTATACCTTTTCAGATATGCTTGTCTAATAATTACTCTATGTTATAAACATATAGATCATCGCATAGAAATTGAAATTAATAGCACTTTGCGGTAATTTCTGATGTTCTTTTCACATGGAAGTTAAACTACTGTACTAGGGGTGAGCTATGAGGATAACAAAACATAACACTGTAATTGGCATAAACAGCGTATTGATAAAGTATATAGTGACGTTATATTTCATTAGTTTCAGAGGCGTGATATGCAAGCTCATCTTGACGCCATGAAAGACTCTCATCTTCACTTGGCTTGCAAAGGAGTTGCTACCATGACCAAAACAATTGAGGAACAGGCTCAGAAGATATCGTTTCTTGAAGAAAAGTTGGAACGCTTACAGAATTGCCCCTTTATTTGGAAAATATCGAACTTTTCATCGGTCATGGCGGCTGCTCAAAGAAGCGAACAAAGGGTGATAGTTAGTGAACCGTTCTATTCATCTCGTAACGGCTACAAATTTGCGTTGGAATTGTACCCTGATGGTTACCATACCAATGACACCCTTGATCAGGAAAAAGGGAATTTTATGTCAATCTACCTGAGGGTTCTGGTGGGAGAGTATGACGGACTTCTTTTATGGCCATTTCAAGACTCGGTCATGTTTACCTTGCTTGATCAATATTATTTAGTTGAGAAAAGAAGACATTTGAGGCAAGAACTACAGCTTGACGCTGGAGGATTAGCAAGACCAAGTCAATCGTCGGAACCCGCCTGTGGCGTGTGGGAGTTCGTGTTTCACAAGGATTTGTATGCACGCAGCTTTATCAAGGATAATACCATTTTTATCAAGGTCACATTTGTTGAAAACCGGGAAAGGAAATTTTCAAGAATTTTTCATGGTGACTATGACATATAATTTAAAGATGTATTATTTTGTACGATTTTACAACAACAGCTATCCTAACGTGTTCAATTTTTTAATTTTGCTGATTTCTCTCAGTATTTTTAGTGTCTGTTTTCCCATCAACTTTGCAATAAGTGTTCCTCTGTTCGCTAACATGCAGCCACTATTCGTTTAAGTAAAAATATACTAAAAAGCCCTTTAGTGCTTGGTCCTGAGCAATGTGCAATAAGTAATATTTCAGCAATTACAATTGGGAGAGTTGGTTATATAAAAATTCGATTTGAAAAAGAGGCATTGGTGCAGCAGCTTGAAACTACTGGCTGGTTTATGAACTTTTGACCTCTATTTATTTTCAAAAAAGGCTACAAATTTAATCGTTACACCCGCCGTGAATTAAGAGAGGCCAATCTCGGCGTGCCTCAGGATTGTTTGACCTATAAAACACGCCATATACTAAAGCAGAATTTATATTTCTATATATTTTTTTTGCGTGCAACCCTAAACGAGATCTTGACGACTTAAAATATTGACGTTTTTCCAAGAACCCCAGGAAAAAAACACCAAAAATCCAAAAATTTACACCCCCTAAGCGAGACGAGGGGCATCTCCGTCTCTTCTTAGGCTACAAGTTAACATTAAGTCTGTTCTATTTGAGTCAGTTGCTGAGTTTTTCTGCAAAGCCTTAAGAAAAATCAAAATGGCCACGTAGGTGCATAACCAAGAGACGATATCCTCGCCTAGAATAACCTATTCACAAGAAGCCTCCATTTTCTGGAAATCACAACTATTTTGCATAATTACAAAAACTTATTGGAATCTATCTCTCTAGGGTGTATAAAACAAGATGCCATTAACCCGCGGGGATATGTCAATCGGTTGGTTTTCTTGTGCCTCAAAGTATAATTATCATGGTCACGTGACATGAAAGAGGTAAAAAATTGAAAGGGAAAATAGATAAATTGGTCTTTCTGATAAGAAATCTTTACTTTCTACGTTTGGAATGAATGTACTTGAAGTTTAAAATTGAAGTTTTGAGTAATTTAAGATTAAAATTTGGCATTTCTAATGATGTTTGCCCTTATAAAATTTTGTTACAGTGAAATGGACAGTCACTTATAAATATGAAGCAGATAATTGTTTTTACTTGCTTTCTTTTCTAAAACTCGTCACCGATTTTTCAATTACTTAAGATTTTCAGAAAAAAAAATAGTCATATGACATACACCTAACAACACAATAAAATGTGAAAGACGATGAGTTCTTTTATATTTGTGCCTAGTCCAGTCCATTCCGTTTGCAGAGGCCGTAGCCAATAAATCATGTTTTGTAGCTACGCCGGTAACCCTTAGACCCAGGCGTGGAACAGCTTAGGTTGGTATCAGGTCTTCTTAATACATTGACTTGAAGAGAGAGAGTGTCTTTTAAAATGTAGCTTCCTTCTTGAATATGATATGATTCTAGGAAATCCTCTACCCGGCCATCAGCTGTCGAACCTCCTCTTGGTCTCCTTGAGAATAATGGTAAACTTAAATTCTCTTTAGTTGGGATCAATAGTTTTACACGGGTTATCTGTTT